GCCTGGCCTGTGTATCAGACTGTATCAGTGTCCTGGTACAGTAGTATCTCTGTGTGTCTTTCTTTACTCATTCACCATGTTATCACCTTCTCTAGACCTACTCCCTGCTCCCTCTCAGACATGCCCTCCCAGCTCAACAAACAGCAGAGCTCAGGTCAACCAGGCCTGTTGTTCCCCATCTCGCCATCTGCTGCTCCATATGAATCACTCTGACAAGTGTTGGCGGACAAATACAGTACGACCATGAATATTCATTAGCAATCATTACCACTGCATCAGATATATTTCAATCTGGATCTAATTGCGTCTCTGCAGTAGGATAATTGGTGAAGCCGTTTCCTGTGTGTGACTGACCAGGTTGGGTTTGTATTGTTATGATGAGGACCTCATTTGCAGAGTAGAAAACCTGAATAATGGAACAGAGTTGGAACATGAGTACAAACGAGCAGAATCATGTCTCTAAATGGCAATGCAAAATCCTGGTCAGAATTCATTCGGTGAGAAGATCTTTTCACTGCCTTGCAATGCAAACGAGTACAGACTTTTTCCACCTCTCACTGTACAGTGCTGTGTTCTGTGTTCTCTTATCTGGTTGTACTCTGAGATCCATATCTTTGAGTGTGGTCCAGGTTATCTGGCCTTCAACAGAGCAACACCCATCTGCTGTTCTGGGAATCCAATGCAACGCCTCTAGCACCACTCTCTGCACTGCTGGTCTCCTGCTACAGCAACAGCAGCAAGCAACACATGCCAAGTCCCTCTGTCCAAAACGAAGTAACATACCCTGGTCTGTCCATATGTACCACTGGTTCACTGGACTCTGTATACAGTACACACTATGTAGACACGGACTAAGAGTGGGGGAGAGAAACACACACACACAGCAATGTGCATCATGCAGCCTGCAGTACCTGAGCTTTGTGAGTCAGTGCCTAGAGGGATCAGGTTGTGCTGGCCTTGTGGTTTATACACTGCAAAACACCTCACCTGACACCTAACGCCACTCAGCAATGCCAATGAGCAGGGACCGACCACCACACTCAGCATGTGCAATGGTACTAACATACATGCAGTCAGGACACACACACACACACACACACACAACCCCCAAAATAACACACAGTCCCCCCCACACCATCACACACACAGGCCTCCCAGTAACTATGGAAACCCAGCCTCCTCCTCAGAGTGATGTCACGTTGACATTGCATCATATCAATCTTAATTAGGGTTGCACTCCCTCTCTGCCAAAGACAGGCCAAAATCACGACCTGAGAGCCAGAGACAGTGAGAGGATAGAGTGAGAGAGCACAAATGGAGAGATTGAGAGGCAGAGAGATGGGCAGATGAGCGAGGACTGGACAGCTAATAATAGATCGATCTCTCTCTGGCGCGCTGCCTGGGAGACGCTGACTTCAGAGCAAGCTATGCGCGGTCTTTTTTCGCCGCTGGAACAAAAGCCATATGGGAGCTGCGAATCATACACATCGCATTCATAGATGATTGAGGGGGAGAGAGGGAGGCAGACGGATAAAGACAGACATAAATGTAGAATAGAGGAGGGAAGAGGGCAGGCTGGTCATCCAATCACAACAGAGTTCAGAGGAGTATATTACCCAATGTATAAGAGTTCTGCTTGCCTGATATAGTGGCTAAGCAATTACTCAAATACACCCATATTTATGCATGTGCATTGATCCAGCTATTGCAGTGGACCAGCAGCAGGGGATTGCATCCCGCGACTGACCAGCAAATCAGTATAACAGGTGCACAGACTACTGTTATGTTATTGTTAAACAGAAGACTATATCCTTATGGAGATGTTGATGTAAAGTAAACACTGAAAATTATCCTACGTTGCCCAATAAAAGCACATCAGTGGCCAGAGAATATTGAGCTGTAGCTGTCTCGAGGACGAGATATGATAGCCACTGTCATGTAGCCACAGACAGACAGAAGAGCATTTCGAGCCAAATTGGACATGAGCAATAACTCCCAATTCACCCTGTTGAGAGTCACCGTTCAGTCTCTCAGAGGAATCGTAAGATCTCGACACAAGTCATGTGTGTGAATTAAGAACGAACCAAGTGACAGCAGAGCGGGCAACCCAGGTCTGGCTTGGCGGGGCATAGTTGCTGCTTGTCTGAACACAGAGCGGTGTCCAGCTGCGCTGCAGGGAGACACTGGGCGCATTGTTTCCCGCAGGGAAAGGGAGAGAGTAGCGGCTCTACGTGTGAACACACAGAGACACATACTAGAATAGATACTACACAAAGGTGTTTGTCTTTATACCAGCCCAGGTGTTCTCTCTGTTTTTGTTGCTTTTAGTCCAGAAACAGACGGCCTTACAGACGAGAGGGAGGAGAGAGAGAGAGAAAGCGACAGGGCAAGGGGGGCAGCGCCTCGAGGATTTAAAAAATGAAATGTTGGTAAAAGCATTGAGATCGAACGGTATGCGAAACGGTAACCAAAACACAGCTACTACTCCATTTTCACTATTTTCTCCTTGAGTACACTCCTGACGCATGTAGTGAACACATACATGTCCGAGAGCCGAACCAAAGACACAGGAAGGAAAGCGCCGGGCAATCACAGCCCGACTCAGGAAACAACAACAAAAGAGAAGGCTACGATATAAATAAATCATATGTAAATCATACTCAGCTAATAACGTGTTAAAACTAATAGCGAGTATTTTTTTTATGTAGCTAGATACTTACTTTACTGAACCGGTTCCGCTCGGTCCACTTTAGATTCGCCGAGCTTCACGCGGATAGTCGGGCGGGAGCTGGCGCTGTGGAGTGTGGCTGAGAACCGTATTACCACCACATTGAACGTAAACTTTGGCCTGCGTCATTTTACCAGGTTGCCACTATTTCGCGCAGTAATGCAGCCATCTTGCTGAGGACTTTACTGTAACGTTAAGTATTAGGGTTATTTGTTGGCAATAAGAATATAGCAGCTATTTTTTGTGAACTCAAAATAATATTTATTAGTGGCAACAAAAAAAACATTACTTTGACAACAGAAGCAAGCAGTGGCATGTGAGAGGGACTACTTTTCTGGGAAATGACAGATTGACAGGTACATTTTAAAAAATCTTGTTTCTCAAAATTGACCAAGATCATGGATGGAGAGTTACGAGTTCAACCATGCCAGCTCAGTAGTTGTTCTCTGGAGAGAAAAGTGGAAGCTGAGAAAATGTGAGCCATTGATTCTAGCACAGTATAAAATCAATAGACCTATAGGGGCCCCATTTCAATACAGGGGCAGCCCTAAGAAATGGTATCCCCCCCTCACTGGCAGAAAGACAGAGACATTCTATTAAATGTGACAATAGGGGTACACAGCATGATCCATGCAGATTGAGCCTCTCAGAAATTATTCATAAATATTGTATAATATGACAAACATAACATAGGTATTGAAACCACTGATGTATGTCTCCCTAAGCATGTGCAGACCAGCTGACAGGTGTCTTCACAGACATTTTCAATCTCTCCTTGTCCCAGTCTGTAATCCCAACATGTTTCAAACTGACCACCATTGTCCCTGTTCCCAGGAGCTCTAAGGTAATCTGCCTAAATGACTATCGCCCTGTAGCACACATCTCATCTGTAATTATGATGTGCATTGAAAGGTTGGTCATGACACACATCAATACCATAATCCCAGACACCCTAGCCTAGACCCACCGATTTTGTGGATTGGGTCGAGAGCTTTAAGTTTCTTGGTGTCCACATCACTAAGGACTTAACATGGTCCACACACACCTGCACAGTCATGCAGAGGGCACGGCAGCGCCTCTTCCCCCTCAGGAGGCTGAAAAGATTTGTCATGGGCCCTCAGATCCTCAAACATTTCTACAGTTGCACCATCGAGAGCATCTTGACTGGCTGCATCACCGCTTGGTATGGCAATTGCACCGCCCTTGACCGCAAAGAGCTACAAAGGGTGGTGCGGACAGCCCAGTACATCACTGGGGCCGAGCCCCCTGCCATCCAGGGCCTCTATATCAGGCGGTGTAAGAGGAAGGCCAGAAAAATTGCCAAAGACTCTAGCCACAGACTGTTCACTCTGCTACTGTCCAGCAAACGGTACCGGAGCATTGACTCTTGGTCCAACAGGCCCCGAGACAGCTTCTACCCCGAAGCCATAAGACTGCTAAATGGTCAATTAATGGTACCCAAACTACCTGCACTGACCCTACGCTCAAGCACTAGACTTTATATACACGCTCACACTACACACTCCCACACAAATTCAAACACTACATACTGACACGACACAACATAAACACACTTTTACACTCATTTGCTGCTGCTACTCTGTTCTTTATTTTATTCTTACCATTTATCTGGATGCCTAGTCACTTTACCCTGCCTTCATGTACATACAGTATCTACCTCTGCACATTGATCTGGTACTCCCTGTATATAACTCCATTCTTGTGTATTTCATTTTATTCCTCATTTAGTTACTATTACATTTTTTAAACTCTGCATTGTTGGGAAAGGTTCATAAGCAAGCATTTCACTGTAAAGTCTACACCAGTTGTATTCGGCACATGTGGAATAAAATGTGATATTAATGTCTCCATTCCCTTTTAATCTCAACCAGGAGAGGTTAGTTTAGGTTATTATCAGACAATTGAAGGATAGGTTATTTTAGGTTATTACCAGACAATGGTAATAGTCCTCTGAATATCAACAAAAAGAGAGTGGACTGTATGGTTCCACTAATGTCCAGTCATGTAGCCTAATAGTCTAAAACATTTACATTTTTTACATTTACGTCATTTAGCAGACGCTCTTATCCAGAGCGACTTACAAATAGGTGCATTCACCTTATAGCCAGTGGGATAACCAATTTACAATGTTTTTTTTGTTTTTTTTGGGGGGGGGGGGGGGGGGTAAAGGTAAAACCAAGAGAAACCTCTAGTCTAATAATCCTACCGCCTGTAAACCAACACAAAATGTTTGAGACAGATGACAAAACACTTTTTAATTTCCTTATCAATTTTTTATTAAAGTTCATTATGTGGTTGGCTTTTTTGTTTGCTTGGTCTTCCAGTACGTAAACAAGTTCCAGTCAGACCAGTAAGATGCCTCAAACAAGGATCCCCTCTGCTGGCCAGCTGGTGGTACCGTCTGCCCTCTAGGGTAGGGCATGTTCATCCCATGTGGAACAGAAGGGTGATCTCTCATACCAACCAGAACCTGAGCAAAGCAGCACTGTATTTCAAACCATTGTGGAAATAACTGACAAATACATATTTACAGTCACACATAACTTTGTATCTTTCTGGAGAGCGCCAGTGCTAAGTGATTCTCAGCACTAGCCTTTTTTAGACTGCTTCTCACTGCAGTCCCTCACAGTCAGGTAGTTTAATATTGACCCCACAAATTACGGCCACAAAATAAAATAGTAAATGTTCCAACAACTTATCAGTTAATCATTACAGTTAAATAAACCAATCAGTCAGTCAGTCAGTGGATTATTATTCAACCAGCATTTGGAATCTGCTCCCATATGTCAGTGACCTAGAAATGCATTTGGAGGAAGACAATATGTGAAAATAAGACAAGACCAGAAAATAGTGAGAGTTGATCAGAGAGGTCCATGCTGCCAGACAGTAGATATCTGGGCTGCAGTCTATTCGGTTATGAGCTAATAGAGATTGGCTGAGTAGACCCCCAGAATCAGAGATCTGACAGGGGCAGATGAACGCCAGGGGAGCAACTGGCACGTTGACCTGAGAAACTAGAGACAGGTGGAGAGAGAAAGAGCAGAAGTCACTGTATTCCACCCTGTTAACCGTTCCTTATCAGAACATCTCCCCACTAAAACCTTATCCTTTATGAGGCACAGTCCGCTGACCCCAGGCCTGTACTGTGGCTGGGACAGACCAGAGGAGGAACTGTGGAAGTTGTCAAAGCTCATCCTCCATCTGCTGAAACGCTTCTAAGTCCTCCCGCCAATCAGCCATCATGGCCTCCACTGATTTTCTGCTAGAGTCCTTGTCAACTGCAGGCTCCTCCTCTGGCTCAGGGTTCCTCTTAATGGCAGGTCCCACATCCTCCTCAGGAGTCACTTCCTCATTGTGGGGAGCTGATTCGTCCAGCTCCACAGTCCTCACGTACGACTGGTCGAGAGTTGCGGCGGGGACAGGTGAAGTTTGGTCTGTTGAACAGTCTTCCTCCTCCTCCTGAATATCCCTCCCTGAGTAAGGACAGAGGGGTGAGCTCAGTCCATTTTCAGACCACTTTCCACCACAATAAATCATCCATATAGTTTCCTAGTATTACCAATACATACGCAGTCATACACCATTTCCTACTCACTATGCATGTACATTAACACAAGCACCTATCAGTCATTCCCAGACAGAAACAGGGCAGTGTTGCAGTTCACACAAGGTAGCGAACAATAAACAGAATGGCACTGATGAGTCATGTGCAGAACAGACCAACAGTACCATTCTCCTGAGGAGTTCTGACATGGCCAGCTATTTACACAAGACTAACCTGCACTGAGCTGCTCTACCACACAAATAATGGAGGAGAGAGGAAAGAGAGTGGAGGGCAATACTTACTGCTTTCCAGCAGGATGCCAGGGAGAGGTTTACTTTTGAATATAGAGGCTGCTCAGCCAAAGGGTGAAGGGGAAAGAAAGAGATAAAATGAAAGTTACACTGTTACAGTCCACCACAGAGAAGGAGAGAAGGAGGAGAAGGAAAGAAAATGGAAAGAAGGGAGCAGTTTCCTGTATCACACATCAAACTGGGTGCTTACCATCACCTACCTCCACTAAGGCTAGTACCGTAAAGTGGCCACAGGCCCACTATTTTGGGTCAACACTGAACCCTGAAATACTGTCCATTTTGAGATCTTTACAGAATCAAATATAGTCCCTAATCGGCTGAAATCCCCAAAAACGATCCATATGCTGGAAAGACCCACTGTCCTGTCTTCCTCTAGTCACTAATGTCCACCTGCCCTGTACAGTGGATCTAACCTCTGTCTCTGGCCTTGTCGCTCAGCAGAACCTCCACCTCCCTGTACTCCTTGAGAGCCTCCAGCAGGATGTTGCCTTCCTTGTAGAAGAGGAAGAGGAGGGGCAAAGTGACATCGTCTGTGTTGCGGCCGTCGCCGGCCATCTGGAAGAGGGGAGCCGTGTCACTGCTGCTACCCTCGTTGTCATCTGTGGAGGAGGGGGGGAATTAGCAAGGTTAAAGAGGATCCTATAAATGGTAATACATCAGTTTATTAAAGGTTATATAAAACATAATGAAAGTGTTATGAACATTTATAAAGGTTAGAAGGTTAGTTAGTGCAGCCTTCTTGAAGTAGATTAATTCAAATTGAGATCTTGTGTCAGTTGGTCCTCCTCACCGATGACGATGCCTCCGATGGCCCCAGCCTTCATGATGTGTCTGGCCTTCTCAGCAAACATACACTGGCCCCGCTGCAGCAGAGCAATGCGGCCCTGTACAAAGGCAGCGTTGCTCAGTTCTGCACAGCCACTGTAGGGCTCAGCCACTGTCACAAACCCACGAACCTACAGACAGATGGAGAGAAAGAGGGGGGGGGGGGGGGGGGGGCATGTTCAAACGTCACTCAGAATGCCGAGAATAAAGAACGTCTGACGCCTTGGGACAAGGCTGGAAAAACCAACAAGCACAGGTGCCCATCCATTGGAAATTGGCCCACTGAAGAAACACACTCACCCCCGTGATGCTCTTGGAAAGGTCCGTGCCAAACTGCGCTGGGCCAGAGGTCAGCACCACTCTGCCGGAGAAGGGGTGGGAGACGATCTGCACGGCGCGCGGAGGGAGCTGCTCCTTCTGCTGCTGGCTGGACAGCTCCATCATCTCCTGCATGAAGCGCATCCCGTCCTCTGCTGCCACAGCACTGACCGCCTAGAGAGAGATCGAGGGAAGGGGAGAGAGCGGAAAGGAGATGGAGAAAGGACAGTCCTCTGTAGCTCAATTGGTAGAGCATGGCGCTTGTAACGCCAGGGTAGTGGGTTCGATCCCCGGGACCACCCATACGTAAAAATGTATGCACACATGACTGTAAGTCGCTTTGGATAAAAGCGTCTGCTAAATGGCATATTATATATTATAGATAGAAAGAGTAGGGGAAGAGACTGAGTAAGACTCATATGGGGGGTTGGCAGTGGTCTTATGATATCACTCTCCCGGCTTGTACTGTGCATGAATCATTTACCTGTGTAGCGTGTTGGACCAGCTGCACTCTGCCGTCCTTAAGGTGTATAAGACTGACTCCCATCCTCCTCAGCAGCTCCAGGTGGTCGGGGTTGTTGGCCATGAAGTCCTGAGCCCTCAGAGGGGGGCGACCCATCCCTGGCTCACTGGAAGAGAGGGTGGAAGGGGGAAGGGGGCATCAATGTTCACACTCACTATGGTTGTGACAAGAACAATATTCTGTCATATTTTAGTACAAAAAGCACTTTTAACATGATTCCTCATGTTAGACATACACTCCCCTATGTATATATTTAGACAGTGAAGCTAAAACGTTTTGCCTCTATACTCCAGCATTTATTCTAAGAATAGAATATGTTTCTGAAGACTTCTACATTCATGTGGGTAGTACCATGATTACGGATAATCATGAAGGAATCGTGAATAATGATGAGTGAGAAAGTTAGAGGCATAAATATCATATCCCCCAAAAATGCTAACCTCCCCTTTTATTGGTAATGGTGAGAGGTTAGAATGTTTTGGGGCATGATCTTCGTGCATCTGTAACTTTCTCACTCACCATTATTCACGATTCCTTCATTATTATCTGTAATCATGGCAGTATCCACATTAATGTAGAAGTATTCAGAAACATTATTTATTCTTATTTACAATAAAAGTGACTCCAAAATGACACAATACATTATTTACCATACATTTCTATTGGGCACAAAATAATCTGAAACACAACCAAAACAAACAGCAAATGCATCCAACAAGTTTGTAGAGCTTGATGTAGTCATTGCATGCTAGGAATATGGGACCAAATACTAAACTTGACTAAATACACTATAAGTGAATGTAATACACTATAAGTGAATTTGTCCAAATACATTCGACACCTTCAAATGGGGGGAGTAGATACACTACATGACCAAAGGTATGTGGACACCTGCTCGTCAAACATCTCATTCCAAAATCATGGGCATTAATATGGAGTTGGTCCCCCCTTTGCTGCTATAACAGCCTCCACTCTTCTGGGAAGGCTTTCCACTAGATGTTGGAACATTGCTGCGGGGACTGGCTTCCATTCAGCCACAAGAGCATTAGTGAGGCCAGGCACTGATGTTGGGCGATTAGGCCTGGCTCACAGTCGGTGTTCCAATTTATCCCAAAGGTGTTCGATGGGGTCGAGGTCAGGGCTCTGTGCAGGACAGTCAAGTTCTTCCACACCGATCTCAACAAACCATTTCTGTATGGACCTTGCTTTGTGCACAGGGGCATTGTCATGCTGAAACAGGAAAGGGCCTTCCCCAAACTCTTGCCACAAAGTTGGATACACAGAATCGTCTAGAATGTCATTGTACGCTATAGCTTTAAGATTTCCCTTCACTGGAACTAAGGGGCCTAGCCTGAACCATGAAAAACAGCCCCAGACCATTATTCCTCCTCCACCAAACTTTACAGTTGGCACTATGCATTCGGGCAGGTAGCGTTCTCCTGGAATCTGCCAAACCCAGATTCATCTGTTGGACTGCCAGATAGTGAAGCGTGATTAATCACTCCAGAGAACGTGTTTCCACTGCTCCCGAGTCCAATGGCGGCGAACTTTATACCACTCCAGCCGACGCTTGGCATTGTGCATTGTGATCTTAGGCTTGTGTGCAGCTGCTCGGCCATGGAAACCCATTTCATGAAGCTCCCCGACGAACAGTTATTGTGCTGACTTTACTTCCAGAGGCAGTTTGGAACTCGGTATTGAGTGTTGCAACCGAGGACAGACGATTTTTACGCGCTACGAGCTTCAGCACTTGGCAGTCCCATTCTGTGAGCTTGTGTGGCCTACCACTTCACGGCGGAGCTGTTGTTGCTCCTAGACGTTTCCACTTCACAATAACAGCACTTACAGTTGAGCGGGGCAGCTCTAGCAGGGCAGAAATTTGACGAACTGACTTGTTGGAAAGGTGGCATCCTATGACAGTGCCACGTTGAAAGTCACTGAGCTCTTCAGTAAGGCCATTCTACTGCCAATGTTTGTCTATGGAGATTGCATGGCTGTGTGCTTGATTTTACACGTCAGCAACGGGTGTGGCTGAAATAGCCGAATCCACCAATTTGAAGGAGTGTCCACATACTTTTGTATTTATAGTGCACATAAAGTGCATTCATTTGTAAACGATAAAACAGATATGTATGAAAAGACACTCAAATAAAATATGACATTCTGTACTGTCGCATTATTAAACATTTGATCTCAAATCCAAAATACTGGAGAATAGAGCCAAATTAAAAGTTTTAGCTTCACTGTCCAAATAAATACATAGGGGAGTGTCTCAGCTGGTAGAGCACGGCGCTTGTAACGCCAAGGTAGTGGGTTCGATCCCCGGGACCACCCATACACAAAAAATGTATGCACGCACGACTGTAAGTCGCTTTGGATAAAAGCGTCTGCTAAATGGCATATTATTATTTATTATTATTATATAAATGTCCCTTACCGGTGAATGGCAGGACGGGGACAACTCTTGTCCACAGCACTCCTGATTGGATCTCTGAGGTTCTGTGGGAAGGCGGGGTCGGGGAAAAGGAGGCGTGTGTTGGGGCAGGTCCAATCAAAGTTAGAGTCATCCAGCTCTTCCTCTGACTAAGACAGAGGGGGAGAGATCAAACATGACTAACTGTATCATCTGAATATTATTAGAAGTACTATCATTAGAATTCTAGCTGATCACAGCAGTTGATCCTACTATACCCACCCAAAGAGATTTGACACAGGCGGAGAGATGAGGCAGAGATGCAGCCTGTACTGTGGTGTTGGCAGGAGGAGAGGGGGCGCGAGGGGCAGTGGACAGGGACAGGGGCAGAAGGTGTGCCTCGGTGGTGAAGATATAGTCCTCAACATTAAACGGCAGATCTTCCTCTTCTGCAAACAGCAGGAACAGGTACTTGAACATCTCTGCCAGGAAGAAGGAGTCCATTCTGAGAGGGGAGGAAAGAGGATTAGTGATATTTGGGGCAGCAGGCCAGCAGGGCAGACACCACATAAACCATTTTGATTTAACTACCTGGCTGGCACACTGTTGCTCAGCCACTAAAATCATCCACCTCTGTTAACCACCCATCATTAAATCCCTCCCCATCCCTGAGGTATTCCCCTGGGTCTGGGCTCTCACCGGTCCTCGTGGCTCCCGGTGCGAACGTCCTTCATGGCAGCAAAGCCACAGGGGACCCGGGCAAAGCGGTTCAGGTTGTCCAGCACCGTGCGGCCTACCTCCAGGTAGTAGGGGTCTTTGGTAGCCTAGAAGGGGGTACAGTGGGACCAAGGTTAGACACTGTACTACTGAATTAGGCAATAAGGAAGGCCCCTGAGAGCAAATTGATATATAATATATAATATGCCATTTAGCAGACACTTTTATCCAAAGCGACTTACAGTCATGAATGTATGTATGTACCGGTATGTCAACTTCTAAACTGCATGTCTCCACAGTCCTTACCTTGTACAGGAAATAGGTACTCTCTGCAAACTCAGGTCTTAGTGGATGCTGAGCCCAATGTACCCTGAAATCAGTGGTGAATGCCTGGGGAACACACAGAGAGGGGTGTTAAAGGTTACAGCCTGACTGAGAACAAAGAAAGAGAGATGGAGCATAAAAGAGAGCTTACCTCTGGGAGGAAGTTGTGTTTCTTGGTGACTTGATACAGCATCTCATGGGTCTCAATGGCCGGCCGGATATCTCCCTTCAACACCTGGGGGATTCATTAACAATGTTAGGTGGAAAGTAAAAGTCTTAATTTGTCTCAGCACCATCTCTATGTACTAAAACCCCTGCTTAGGCAGCTGGTCAGTTAGTGACGCCAGTCACCTGCAGCCCAGGGAAGAAGGCCAGGAGGGAGTCCATCCAGGTGCGAGCAGGCAGCAGAGGCTTGTGGATGTGAACGTCCAGCAGGAGAGGAGGCTGGCTGATGTACTTCATTATAGACGCATAGTGCTGGAAACACAAATAATGAGAGAATTTGACAAGCTGAGGATGAGAATCTTTAACAACATACTTTGTGAGGATTGAATTCCATAATAATAAGGGCATAAAAGCATTCCATTATCCAAGCCGGAGTAGGGTTACAGTGTGTGAGGTCACTCACAATGTTGAAGCGCTGCAGAAACAGGTCATCTCCCAGGAGAATATAGGCCTTCAGCAGGTACTCATAATACGAGTCGATCCCTGCTCCCACTCCGCTGTCTGGAACAATACAACACAACAGTGTACCGTTTCATACCTCAGAAACACACTCATGCCTTAATTCTACAAGTACAGAACATCAGCTTGCCCATTCACTTCTATCACACCCAATACATCGTCCTTCTCTGGATAAATCCAAGGAAATCCTCCTTTATAATACAGTAGATACCCGTTATGGCCTGGGACTGGTTCCCTCGCTCACCCCTGCGGACCCACTCTCCTGAGTGGATGTTGATGGTTGTTCCCACCAGGTTGCTATTCCTCTGCCTCTTCTCCCACAGGAAGTCGAGGGCTCTCCGTGCATGGACCTGTGTATAATAAAATGTATCAATATAATTCAGACACACTGGCATCTATGATAATCAACAATGAAGGTCTAGTAGTGCAGTCTACTAAAGTATTAGTCCTGATCTGAACAAGGTTTAAATAATTGTCTATTTTTACCTCAAACACAGGGTCCCCAGTGAAGCGACTCAAGGCAGCGAACTCCAGGATAATTGTGCCAGCACAAGCTGTGCAGGTGTCCGTCTCTGTGCCCGTCCGACTCTCAGGACCCCTGATGCCATGCCTCAAGTTTACCTGTTGAGTGGAATAATAAGGCTCAATATATTGGTCATAGCTGTGTCCTAAGACATTGTTCAGGTGAACTATACAGCCATAGAAAACCAGGCCGCGGAAAACTGTAGCAGCTATTAACAGAGCACTGAAGCAGAAAATGTGTGTGTGTGTATGGTCGGGACATATCCCAACAGCCGTGGCCTTATGTATAGTCTGAGGGCTCACCCTGGGGTAGGGCAGGCCACTGCTGGTGTTGAAGGCAGGCAGGAGTCTGAGACCCACGTCTTTGGCCATGTGGAGGAGCTCATCCTGGTACCACTGCATGTGATGCCCTGCATCCTTCAGCATCACCGCCATGGAGTGTCCCCCTAGCAGCCCTCTGGAAACATGAGGAAAGTCACAACGGTCACACATAAACTATATATGCAAAAGTATGTTGACAACCCTTCAAATTAGTGGATCCGGCTATTTCAGCCACACCTGTTGCTGACAGGTGCATAAAATCGTGGACACAGCCATGCAATCTCCATAGACAAACATTGGCAGTAGAATGGCCTTACTGAAGAGCTTAGTGACTTTCAACATGGCACCGTCATAGGATGCCACCTTTCCAACAAGTTAGTTCGCCAAATTTCTGCCCTGCTAGAGCTGCCCCGGTCAACTGTAAGTGCTGTTGTGAAGTGGAAACGTCTAGGAGCAACAACGGCTCAGCCGCGAAATCATCTGTCCTCGGTTGCAACACTCACTACCGAGTTCCAAACTGCCTCTGGAAGCAACGTCAGCACAATAACTGTTCATCGGGAGCTTCATGAAATGGGTTTCCATGGCCGAGCAGCCGCACACAAGGCTAAGATCACCATGCGCAATGCCAAGCATCGGCTGGAGTGGTATAAAGCTCACCATCATTGGACTCTGGAGCAGTGGAAACACGTTCTCTGGAGTGATGAATCACGCTTCACCATCTGGCAGTCCGACAGACGAATCCGGGTTTGGCGGATGCCAGGAGAACGCTACCTGCCCGAATGCATAGTGCCAACTGTAAAGTTTGGTGGAGGAGGAATAAAGGTCTGGGTCTGTTTTTCATGGTTCAGTCTAGGCCCCTTAGTTCCAGTGAAGTTAAATCTTAACGCTACAGCATGCAATTACATTCTAAAGGCCCTTTCCTGTTTCAGCATGACAATGCGTCAATGCACAAAGCGAGGTCCATACAGAAATGGTTTGTTGAGATAGGTGTGGAAGAACTTGACTGGCCTGCACAGAGCCCTGACCTCAACCCCATCCAACACCTTTGGGGTGAATTGGAACGACGACTGCGAGCCAGGCCTAATCGCCCAACATCAGTGCCCGACCTCACTAATGCTCTTGTCCCCAAAGCAATGTTCCAACATCACACACACAGTTTGTTTGCTGTTGAATTTGTGCTGTTGCCAGTGTCTTCTGTCTGTGTCGTCTGTTTTGTCTTACATCGTTTGATGTTTTATCCCAGCCCCCGTCCCCACAGGAGGCCTCTTGCCAGGCTATTGTAAATAAGAATTTGTTCTTAATTGACTTGCCTGGTTAAATAAAAAATGTAAAATGTCCATCCCCTCAATAACTGGCTTTATGTTTTTTCTTACCCCAGCACACGGATGTTGGTCTCAAAGACAGACACCACGATGTCATTGTCCAGTCGCACATCTGTCAACACTCTCCTCACTGCTTCTTCAAACTCTGTCGTCTTGTTTAAGAGCTGTAAGTAAATACAGAATTAAATAAATGAAAATCATCGTCTACACATAGGTTAAACAAATCCAACTAAGGAGGTTGGTAAAACAAACTAAAGATTAAACCTACCACTAGAGTGTCCAAGGTGTCGATGAGGGTGAGAGAGAAACTTAAAACACACAAAGACAAATCAATCAGCATCAATTACAGTCCCTTATGGCTAGAAGATATCAACAGAGACAGAGTATTCCAATGCCAACAGGACTGTATCTCCTGTTCCCACATCCTACTCAGGCCTGCAGACAGACAGACAGACACTCACTTCCCCAGTGCATCATCCACGTCTCCCCGACTGGGCTCCAGCCCACGCACCCTCCCCCGACACGTCAGCGGCATCAGCTCATCTGCTGGGTACGCATGGTCCTGGAGAACACAACCAATAAGGATCAATGGTAGTGTGTGAATGTTGAACATATGTCAGACATAACTTATTAACATCTAATTGACATACAGTAGGTCTAAATAAGGTTCAACTAGCAAAAACACTACCACACCGAAATCAATATTCAAATCTGTTCCTGGCAAATAAAGCAGAAATGTAAAACACTTGCCACACACTGCATTCTGTCTGGGCTACACCACACCACATTAATTGGATTGCATTAATGGGGGTTGGGCTTAAGCCTTTTCATTTAGCACTGTAATAAAAGTGATTTACAGTTTCAGTTGGCACCACACTCCCTCTCTATGGAGCAGCACTGAATTTCAATGTGTGCTCTGTGCTGACAGACTGGCTTAGTGTGAGCACCCTGAACAGAAGCTACAGCGTTAGTCATCCTGGGGCCTGTGATGGCACTTGACCCTGTACAAAACAGTCCAACCAGAAGGCAAAATGAGGACATTTATGATGTGAGGACATGAACCTTGGGTCTGTGTGCTTGTTTGATTAATGGCTGAGGTAAATATAACTTCTAGGCCAGGCCTACTAATTTGATTTAGGAACACAAAAGCACTAGGCCAAGTGTCAGTGTTTTGATGAACAGCTAGTGTCAATATATCAGTCATCCAGCTCAAAGCCACATAAGTCCATGGTAACAGAAAAACAGAGAGGGGAAGGAAGCAAACAGGCATTAGTCTAGCTACCAAAATAGACCCACTGACCTCAAATTAGGCCTAAAGAGGCCTAGATGTTTATTGTAGCTGAAACTAATTAAAAGTATGGGAGCAGAGCAGTGCTTTTAGCATATTACAACAAACCCAGAACATGAGTACCAGTAAATCACAACAGAACATCTAAATGTTTTTGCATTATTAGATTGCTGCTAAACCACTCTCTCAGTTATGTGAAGGAGGCAGGTGGTGACGAGACTTACCATATAATTGGAATAAGCATGGTCAAACATCTCGACCACTTGGTTCCTTGAGGGGAAACAGAGAAAAAACAAGTCAGTTTAGCTCAATCTCCTTTATCAGTCTGAACCTGTCACACATCTAGCCCAGGACCAGACATATTTCTCACTCACCTCAGCTTGAGCTTCTCCTCTCGTGACATAGACTGTCCCAGCCTGCATAAGGTGCTCAGCAATAGCAGCAACGGCAACAATAGGGTTGACATTGTTGCGGGGCGAAACCACAACACCGTCCGCATAGCTACAACCTAGCTCTCTCAGTCAAGTACAACTGTAACCTATCATCACATTAATATAGGCCTGGACACCAACATTCTCTGATAACACAAACACACTCAGATCTCATGTGCACATATTCAGAACCAGGGGACACTTCAGGCCCAGTTACTGTCTGGTCCAATGGTTAATGAATGCCTCCAAATACCACATTGAGGCAGTGCTGTTTATAATGCCCACAATACTGTTACTAATCAGCTTATTGATGCCAATTTAGACACCATCTATGACTCACTCGTCCTCTCCAAAGTCATACAGTACAAATCCAGGTTATGGTAGAGGTGTGACAAGGGGTTGGACAAACAACTGTATCTAAAATCCAAACTCAGGCTAACATAACAAGCAATCTATATGTTTGACCGTTTGCAGGAATGCTGTAGCTATTATGTAAACTGATATCAGGGATCTGTCATATGATGCGTCTCATAATCCAAGACAAAGTCCCAGTGGTGTAAAGTACTTAAGTAAAAATACTTTAAAGTACTACTGAAGTAGTTTTTTGGGATATCTGTACTTTACTATTTAAATTTTTTCCAACTATTACTTCACTACATTCCTAAAGAAAATAATTTACTTTTTACTCCATAAATTTTTTCACTGACACCCTAAAGCACCCGTTACATGTTGAATGCTTAGTCAATAAACACAAATGCTTCGTTTGTAAATTATGTGTTGGGGTGTGCCCCTGGCTATCTGTAAATAAAAACAAGAAAATCGTGCCATCTGGTTTGCTTAATATAAGGAATGTGAAATGATTTTTACTTTTGATACTTAAGTATATTTAAAACCAAATACTTTAGACTTTTACTCAAGTAGTATTTCGCTGGGTGACTTTCTATGAAGGTATCTTTACTTTACTCAAGTATGACAATTGGGTACTTTTTCCACCACTGCAAAGTTCTGCCAAGCCGTTAGCATATGCTCCTTCCTTGACTGAGTGTCAAGTTCCTTAACCGTGTTCACCTGCTGGTCACACCCTCTGACACACACGACACGTTGGCAAAACTTCAGTCAACACAAAACAGGATTCACACACTGCTAATCCCTGCTGTCTAATTATCGTTTCCTAACGGGCAATTACATTACTGAATACTGACAGAGTAACGGTATTCTTCAAGCCAATCAAAACAAACTCTCCTTCCTTATTAACGTTACTTGACATCCGTGTCTTTGAGTAAGCAGACACCATAAAAGCCTACTGCCAGGAATACTGGCAAGCTGAAGAGGTAAATTATCTAGCTTTCTGATTAGACTAACAAATAATTAGCTAATCATTATATATAGTTAACTCCTATATATTATCACAACAGTAGTTGGCTACAACCTTTAACGTTACCGTTGCTATCGACAAACAATAGCCCCACAGATAAGTGCTAGCTAGCTAATGGCGCTAGCTATCGGTCTTTTCCTGGAACAATTAGGATTATATCCATGAAGCAAGCTAGACTGTTGTTATTTCCTCCTCCTTTTGACTGCTCACTTCGATGTTAGCCAGTTGGGGTGCATAGCCAGCTACAGTAGCTAGCTAGCCAGCTTGGCCGGTAAACGACAGTCCGAAAACAAGCAAAGTAGGAAAGGCGCCGATCACTTTCGGCCGTTGAGAAATATTATTTTGTTCTTCTTGTTATGCAGGAAAATATTTGGTCGTTTTCTGTTGCCTTGAGGATGAACCTTTAGCGGCCAGCTAGCCGTCAAGGAAAAGCGGATGGTACTGTTTAGATGATAAACGTCAACATCCGCATCCGGTTAGGTTTTCGTTCCCTCCCTCTGCTCCGCCCAATACCTAAATATTGTAGTTTTGTTATGCAATATTATCAAATCTACACTACTTCAGTCGTTATACATTTGGGGAGAATATTCCTTACAAAATTAGATGGCAATATACACAACAGTTGACGTTTGTTAGTTCCTTGAATATTGGCAGACATCAAAATAAATCTCCCACAATTTTTGGTGTTCACTAAATTTCCCATCTAGCCTAGCGAACCAGACTGGTCTCATAGACTAGACGTAACATACAGTCGTGGTCAAAAGTTTTGAGAATGACACAAACATTAATTTTCACAAAGTCTGCTGCCTCATTTTTTATGATGGCAATTTGCATATACTCCAGAATGTTATGAAGAGTGATCAGATGAATTGCAATTAGTTGCAAAGTCCCTCTTTGCCATGAAAATGAACTTAATCCCCCAAAAACATTTCCACTGCATTTCAGCCCTGCCACAAAAGGACCAGCTGACATCATGTCAGTGATTCTCTCGTTAACACAGGTGAGAGTGTTGACGAGGACAAGGCTGGAGATCACTCTGTCATGCTGATTGAGTTAGAATAACAGACTGGAAGCTTTAAAAGGAGGGTGGTGCTTGAAATCATTGTTCTTCCTTTGTTAACCATGGTTACCTGCAAGGAAACACGTGCCGTCATCATTGCTTTGCACAAAAAGGGCTTCACAGGCAAGGATATTGCTGCTAGTAAGATTGAACCTAAATCAACCATTTATCGGATAATCAAGAACTTAAAGGAGAGAGGTTCAATTGTTGTGAAGAAGGCTTCAGGGTGCCCAAGGAAGTCCAGCAAGCGCCAGGACCATCTCCTAAAGTTGATTGGAGGAAGACTGTGAGCTTGAGTCTGTTAAAAATGGCGGAAAAAATGGAGAAGGTTTGTTAAAGAAGAATGGTAGGAAATGTAAGCAAAGTGAGTTGAAGACAGGAGGAGAAATGGAAGTGAATGAGGGTGAAGTATCGGAGGTGGAAGGTGTGGTGAAGTACTCGGATCCCGAGGATTGCACAGAGGGTCAGGATGAAAATGAGTCTGTGACAGTAGGAGTGAAGTTTTTGGAAAAAGTGGAGCCTTGCCTTTTGGCTGATCCATTTGTGGTTTCAAGATGGGTGAAAAGAGCGTTGGGTAAAGTGGAATCGGTGAGGGTAACCAGAAGTATTCTAGTGATAATTGTTTGTGTTTCTGTTGGTCAGAGGGAGAAGGCGCTCAGATTTAGACAAATGGGGGAAAGAATGGTGAATTGTTTCGCTCTCAAGAAAAGGGCGCCATTGAAAGGAGTGATTACTGGGGTACCAGTAAATGTAAAAGTTGACCAACTGAAGGGGAAGATTCCCAGTGTGTGTGATGCTCATCGTTTGGTGCGACACAAACAGGGGGACGAGAGTGGGGTAACAGGAGTCATTGTCTGTTCTTTTGAGTTTTGAAGTTGAGTCTTTGCCGGATAAAGTGAAGTTAGGGTATATAAGTTATCCTGTACGAGCTTATGTGCCGAATACATTACGATGTTACAGGTGTCAAACTTATGGGCATGTGGCAGCAGTGTGTAGGAGGGAGGTTCCAAGGTATGAGAAGTGTGCAGAAGGGCATGAGACAAAGGAATGTGTAGCATTGGGGAAAGTAGTGGTATGTGCTAATTGTAGGGGTGGCCATGGGGCTGGGGATCAGAATTGTCCTGTGCGAGAGAGGCAGGTTGAGGTTTCCAGGGTAAGAGTAGTGAAGAAGTTGTCATATGCTGAGGCAGTGAAGAAAGTAGAGGAAGATGGGTCAAGGGGGAGGAGTGGTGAGAGTAGTAGAGATGTACCAATGTAGAGGGATAGGACAACAAGTGATATGTGTTTCAGTAAGATTGGATTTTTAGCATTTATAGCAATGGTTATTAATTGTACTGCAGGGATGGAACGTAAGTCTAAGAAAATTGAGGTTGTGTTGGCAGCTGCAGAGAGGTATTTGGGTGTGCGAGACTTGACAGCAGAGTTACAGGGAGTGTTAAGTGGTGGTGATCCATCATCTCAGGTTGAGGGCATGAGGTAGGAATGAATATTTAAATAGTGGGGTGGTGTTCATTATTAATAATACATTTTAATTTGTGAGTGTAGTGTTGGATGGTAGGGTATTTCTTTATTTTATTGTATTTTTCAAGCAAAATATAAGGGAGTTGTACACCAGTCTAGTAGGTGGCGGTAATGCAACAAATTGGATGCCAACCGCCGTTAAACCTCATCGAAGAAGAAGACAATCAGGTGGTTGTTCGACAAAACGAAGCTTCGGACGTAATTAATTAGGTGCTTCTGATAAAGTCGTACAAGCATCAGCACTCTACTTCGAAGTAAACTGCTTAGCGATTTCGACGCATGCTTCGGAGCTCCGGTATCAAACGTAACATCACTAGTAGCAAACAAAACCGGTAACGATATCTTTACTCTATGTATGCATTGACTGATAGCTTACTGATGATGTTTGCTTATCAAATCAAATTGTATTTGTCACATGCTTCGTGAACAACAGGTGTAGATTAACTGTGAAATGCTTGCTGGTAATATTTTTTTTGAAATAATGAGGAATAAATGCACAGTGAACAACAACGAGTAAAAATAACATGGCTATATACAGGGAGTACCAGTACCGAGTCGATGTGCAGGGGTACGAGGTAATTTAGGAAACTATGTACATGACTAGGCAACAATATAGGCAGTAGCTGCATATGTGGTAAGTGTGTGTGTGAGCAGGGGCGGACTGGCCGTCTGGCCTTCGGGCAAATGCCAGATGGGCTGAATTTTTTTTAGCCCAGTGGGCCTCTTAACTGTTTATTTGTAAAAAAAAAAAAAAAAAAAAGGCTGGTGTGTTAGAAAAGGCCAGGGCCGATTTCTGGTGTGTGTGTTGGGGTGTAAGTATGTGTCTGGGTAGAGTCCAGTGTGTGTGCATAGTCAGTGCAGGAGAGTTAGTGCCAAAAAAGGGTCAATGCTGGTAGTCCGGGTAGCTATTTAGCAGTCTTATGGCTAGAAGCTGTTCAGGGTCCTGTTGGTTCCAGAATTGGTGCACTGGTACCGCTTAGCATGTTGGTGTCAGTCTTAGGGGAGAGTCACATGGGTTTAAAGAATCAGACATGTTCTTATAAAGCTTAGAATAAATATTATCCATTCATAGTTAATTTTTTTTGCAAAATTCTATTATACTCTTTTGTAGTGCAGGATTCTACTCAATTCAATTAAGGAAACAAAACAATTCCCAACTATGTACATTCAGCAGCGTTGTGCCAGTAACCGAAAGGTCGCTGGTTCTAATCCCCGAGCCGACTAGGTGAAAAATCTGTCGATGTGCCCTTGAGCAAGGCACTTAACCCTAATTGCTCCTGTAAGTCGCTCTGGATAAGAGCGTCTGCTAAATGACTAAAATGTAAATATTTTTTTTCTCACTCAGCCATGACGCCAACTGTTGGCAGAAAGGCCACTGGGCTTGTAGCCGCCACTTTTACTCCTCTCACTCCTGCTTTTGTTGACTTTCTTCAACCGGTTAAATTGTACTCTTCATCCCACCTCTCGCTCTCTCCACAGTGAAATGAACCTTTCAGAGATCAGACCCTACATTGACTATCTGTTAGAGCAACAAGGTGTTAAGAGTATATTTGGCAAGAGCTTTCTTCTTAGTTATTTATCATGTGCTAGGTCATTGCAGTGCTATCACATTCCTACCAAGTTCATGCACAGCTGTGTGTTATGTCTGTCCTTTTCCCAAACCCCTCCATCAGTCAATGGCACGACAGGTGAAGGAATGTCTCTCACTGTGGAGGAGAGAAAGCTGCTTGCAGAGGAGTGGTGTCGTAAGAGCAAGTAAGTCATAAAGAATATGTGGTTATCAAATATGCCTAATATGGTTTATATGTGGCAATACTGTCCTTGTTGGTGAATGAGTCACTGAGTAAGCCTTGCTGCTGGCTTCTTGGCACACATTGCTGTGTCTTCACAGGCTGGAGCAGGTGATGGTGCATGTGGGCTGCATGAGTCTGAAGTACTCTCAGGAGCTGGTGAGTCATCTTTGCCACAACCTGCTGGTACTCCTACCAATACCTAGTCTAAACACAGCACAGGGCCTTGGAACAGCCCACAGTGTAATTAAGGTGACTTACTGTCTCTGTTGTGTCCTCCATGCAGGCACACCATGCTGCTGAAATATGAGCTGATGGGATAGCAGTGATCTCCTCCTCTTTCTTTAAACCCCCCACGCAGGTTTGTGGAGCCTAATTTTCGGTTGTGATGTATACCTGTTTGCTCTTTCCAGTGTGATGTAGTGGAGGGTATATACGAGGTATACCCACTTATTTTTCAGTGGGCATTGCGTATACTCACTTCTTTAATCCCCACTGATACCTATAAAAGTAGTGTAGTGGAGGTACACGCCATATCAAGTAATCAGGCTGATGGAACAAAAATGTTGATAAAAGTATTATTTATTCATATTTTAGGTGCAGCAATGTACATATTGCTGTAGGCCTAGCGTGATCGTTCCAAAATGCAATTGTGGGAAAACACTGTTCTAAAATGCACACCGCACATGCAAGCGGTTTAATGAACAGAGATCCTTTAGAAAGAGGGGAGATCTAAAGATGCAACAACTATCATGTGTTGCTAATATGACTAGGATAATGCCTTTGGCTGCTAGACAATGAAAGACAGTTGAAAGAAAACCAATAGAACAGGAGAACGCACATGGATAAGTCTTTATAAAAAATAATTGCCTCCACGTTTCAATGGTGGGATTTTGGCTACAGGCTACTTTGAAGCAAGGTAAGACATGCCTCATAATATGAAGTAAAACGTCCAGGTGTCAAACAGTTAAGGACCAGGAAAAATATAGCGACGCTAATGATAGGCCTAACCTTCTTCTGGTAGATGGAAAGGCTTTCCCAAAAACCTTCTATATTAAATGTTAACTAGCTACAAAGTTTTCCCAGACCTCAAAAGTGGTCTCTCGACGTGGTTGAAGCATTGTTATGGACTTACAACATACAAGAGGGAGGTGCGAAAACCTGAAAAAATTGGGGAAAATCTGAAACCTGTGAATTTCTGAGTCAGTTGACAGCCTCATTTATCTGTTTCAATAGAGTACCACAGTATGAGTCATAATACCAATAAAACCGAGAGGTCAAACAGGGAAATGGTTCCAATCGTTTTTCCACCATACATTTTTCCCATAGGGGATTTTAGAAAGACTTAAAATAAGGGCTGTGTTTTGTGTAGGCGTGACGTTTTGATAACCGTGTAAATCTCTCTAGGACAAGTAGACTTTTATCAATGTATTTACCCCCCAAAAATGAAATGCTAATTAGCTGCAAATGTGTCTATCATAAAGAACTACAACTGCCATGATGATCTGGATGAGACTCCTGAATCGAGGCATAGGTAAGAATCTCTGGATTAACTCTCTAATGTTAGCTAAGTGTAGTAATTAATAAATAGGCTACATTTTTTTTTTAAATAGACTTCTGTGAACTGTCTTGTGCAAGTTTTAAATGGACACTACCTGTTAGCAAAGGTATCAGCTAGAGATGATGTGCAGGGATTTGTAGTTTTGCATGTCTACTTTTAATGCTAATTAGCATTTTCAAATCTGAGAGTAAATGGAGACGAATATATTGTTATAGTCACCTTGTCCGAGAAAGATTTACATGGTTATCAAAATGTCATGCCAGGGTAAGCCTACATACATGAAACACAGCCCTTATTTTAAGTGTTTCTAAAATCCCCTATGGGAAAAATGAATGGTGGAAAAACGATTGGAACCATTTTCCTGTTTGACCACTAGGTTTAATGGGTATTATGACACCTCCACTGTGGGGCTCAATAGTAGGCCTACTATTAGCCTACTTGCACAGTACAGCTTGGATTGGCCTGACTGTGAAAGACCAATGTGGGATTTATGATTTTAGGTCATTCAGAGCATCACTGTTTCTCACAATTTTTCACACAAGGTGCCTTCCCCTCGCTGGGCAGGCCGGTAGGAATGTTTTGGGGAAGAATTAGAGTATACCCACTTCTCCAGGCACCACTACACCACTAAGTGTGACATTCCACTCTGGTCAATGTTGCTGAGGAATTCACTGTAGGAATGTGTTTCCTTTCCTTACTGTGTTTCCTTCCACCGAATTCCGATGCGCTAAGGATGTTCCTCCAGGAAGTGGCTTCAGCCTCCCCAGCCGTGCCACTCTACTATTATCACATTCCAGCTGTGACCGGGGTCAACTGTGAGTACTCTGCTTTCAGTTGATATGATACAGTCGGACACTTTTTGATGCGCCTCTGCATGTGATACTGTAATAATCAGGGTTTGGACTACAAGAATGTTGATTCTCAACCACTCTTTTCTTCTCCTGTCAGTGCTATCGAGGGATGTGTTGGAGGGGATAGAGAAGCAGATCCCCTCGTTCCAGGGGCTGAAGTTCAGTGACCTGATGGACTTTGGCCAGTGTGTCAGCTATAGTCCATCTCACTGGTCACTCCTATACAGCATTGATGAAGTCGGCACACATTTTTCTCTTCCCTGTCTGTTTGCCTCTCTCATCATGAAGATAACTTATCCTTAGAGGAAGGTTGTGTTCAGTATGTTATGTAATTTAAAGAATGTTTAACCCTTTAACAGCAACTGCTAGGAGCTTTGGCGATTGGTGCCAATGGGGCAGTGGGAAGGTTAGCCTTCCTCTTATATCATACTTTAACCCTGAGAACCATGCTCTCTGTGTGAAGTCAGTCCATTAGGCAGACACTTATGCTTTAGGAATGCCACTCTCTCCCCAGCACATACAACTACCTGGGCGGTGGTGTGAACAGACTCTTGTCATCCTTTGATAAAGGGTACCTCCCGAAGGCCAGGACTTTACAGGTACACCTCCCTCTCAGTCTCGGACAAAACGGTAACACAGAGCATCATTTTTGTTTTACTGACTTTTTCATATCTGTTGATTTTGATTATCTCTTTGATTGATGTCTTTGTTTCATCTGTTTGCAGTTCCAGGTGCAAGATATCCTCTGTTATGCAATAAAGCTGGGTGAGTGAGTGCAACATCTTCACCCACAAAACAGTCATATGCCATCATGTGCCATCTGAGGTTAATGAACCTAGAATGAGTCTGGGTATGTTGTGATGTATTGTGTTTGTGTGTGTGTACAGGGTTTGACTTGGCTGTAAATAAGCAGCTGATGAGTGAGGTGTCAGGATTGGCTCTTGGCCCTCCCCTGCTGCCTTGCCCCCAGCCCAAGGCCCTCTCCATAGCACAGAGACTCCAGCAGATCCTGGGAGAGTAATGACGGCAGCATGGAGATTTGGCTTTATAGGCTAACCACAGGATTTCATGTGGAAAACGTGTTTTTGGAACACTTTATATGTGTGTTGCTTTACATGTTATCACATTAACTTCACGATCATGTGATCACCCCAGGTGGTGAAGGTAGGAAACAACATCTCAAGGGTGTGTGCTCAGCCTCCTCCTGTACTCCCTGTTCACCCATGACTGCGTAGCCATGCACGCCTCCAACTCAATCATCAAGTTTGCAGACGACACAACAGTAGTAGGCTTGATTACCAACAACGATGAGACAGCCTACAGGGAGGAGGTGAGGGCTCTCGGAGTGGTGTCAGGAAAATAACCTCTCACTCAACGTCAACAAAGGAGATGATCGTGGACTTCAGGAAACAGCAGAGGGAGTATTCCCCCCCCCCCCCCCCCCCCCCCCCCCCCCCATCGACGAGACAGCAGTGGAGAAGGTGGAAAGTTTTAAGTTCCTCGGCGTACATATCACTGACAAACTGAAATGGTCCACCCACACAAACAGTGTGGTGAAGAAGGCGCAACAGCATCTCTTCAACCTCAGGAGGCTGAAGAAATTTGGCCTGTCACCTAAAACCCTTTCAAACTTTTACAGATGCACAATTGAGAGCATCCTGTCGGGCTGTATCACCACCTGGTACGGCAACATCACCGCCCACAAGCGCAAGGCTCTCCAGAGGGTGGTGCAGTCTGCACAACGCATCACCAGGGGCAAACTACCTGCCCTCCAGAACACCTACAGCACCCGATGTCACAGGAAGGCCAAAAAGATAATCAAGGACAACTACCACCCGAGCCACTGCCTGTTCACCCCACTATCATCCAGAAGGCGAGGTCAGTACAGGTGCATCAAAGCTGGGACTGAGAGACTGAAAAGCAGCTTCTATCAGACTGTTAAACAGCCATCACTAGCACAGAGGCGCTGCTGCCTACATACAGACTTGAAAATCACTGGACATTTTAATAAATGGCACACTAGTCACTTTAATAATGTTTACATATCTTGCATTACCCATCTCATATGTATATACTGTATTCTATACTATCTATTGCATCTTAGCCTATGCCGCTCTGACAATGACATTGCGCATCCATATATTGATATATTCTTATTCCATTCCTTTACTTAGATTTGTGTGTATTATATATTTGTTGTGGAACTGTTAGATATTACTGCACTGTCGGAGCTAGAAGCACAAGCATTTCGCTACACTCGCAATAACATCTGCTAACCATGTGTATGTGACCAATACATTTAATTTGATTTGAAATGAGAACGTGTTTTGGGAACACTTCATGTATTTTTTAAATAAGGGTAAAGTTTGATTTAATTGACTATCGTTTGCACACATATTCAAATGAAAATAAACATTCCATTGCCAGCAGCCCAAAATGCCAAAAGACCCCATTACTCATGGCAGAGGTGCATCAAGTAAGGCATTAATGAGCAGAGACTTGGTTATACAGATTGGCTAGAGGAGTTACAAAGGGACTTTTAGCGCCTTATATCTTAAAAATGGGTTCTGATAATTCATACATCGTTTTTAAAGAGAGACCTGCGTTCACTAGAAACTATGAATTTTGTGTGACTAATTCTTAATAAGGACTGTATTAGACTGTAACTTAACCCTGAGTAAATCAGTACAACTGTAAATTGAATTGCCTCTAATCTCAAGTGTGAACTGCACTCTTTCCAGCATTGTGGCCTTGATATTATTTTTAAAGAAGCCATTGATTTAAAATGTATTACAGTATAACTCAACTTGTATGGGAGTGAAAGGGAAATAAATATACATGCAACTTGAATCCATTTTGTAAACACTCTTAAAGACATTGCAAATGTTTATGAATAAAAATATAAATTACTTGTTTTAAAATGTTATCCCATGTAGATGTTCTCCAGTTATTCTCCCAAGTTTCATTTGTTTATCTCTCTTTCTCTGTTATGACTTGGGGCTCTGCAGGGTATGACTTCAGTACTCATGTATTTGTATATCAAATGGCAGAATGATCTCAGAGGTTTGGTCCTTTTGACTGTGTGTGTGTGTGCACGTACCTCAGTCAGACGGAGAAGTGCTTTGTCCCTGTCAGTTCCTCTTGGCTGTGGTGTCTGTGGCCTCGGTGTTCTTAGCTGCTCCCTTCCTCCATCCCCCACTACTCGCCTGACCCCATCCTTATCCTCTGACTATACTACACATTCCAGCCATGCTCACACTCACTTTCACTATCTGATGTGAATGGAGCCAAGCAAGCCCTTTTATTCAATAACAGTATCAACTTTTGGACAGGATAAAACTTTGGGTATGGCTTTTTATTTGTGCGGAAGCTGTTGTGGATAGCTGTTGTGGAATCTAATGATGTGTGTACTGGAGAGACCGGGACAGACAGAGCCGGAGGGAATGAGCGAAGGGGAGAGCGGTGTGTGGTTTTGGCTGGGATCAGCAGAAATGGTTGGTCAGGAATCTGAAGGACAGTGGGAGGAGGAACACATGATGTTCAGAAGTCTCTGGCAGAGGAACTGAAGCTCTCTTTGAGCCAAGGCTTTGGTTTATCTTGGGCTATTGGTGTTCCTGTTGGGGTGTATCCCCTCACAGCTGTAGGGGCAGGTTGTTCTAGATCAGTGTTTCCCAAACTCTGTCCTGGCGACCCCAAGGGGTGCACGTTTTGTTTTTTTGCCCAAGATCTACACAGCTGATTTAAATAATCACCTCATCATTAAACTTTAATTATTTGAATCGGCTGTGTAGTTCTAGGGCAAAAACCAAAATGTGCACCCCTTGGGGTCCCCAGGACCGAGTTTGGGAAACACTGTTCTAGATAAGGGGGAAGCGTGTGGAGGGCCAGTCTGACAAATGTACATTTGAGTCATTTAGCACACCAACCTCACGTGTGTCCGTGAAGCCCGCTGACAAGGAGGAAACACCCATCGCTAGAGTCTGCAGCCGTGAGTCTCAACCCTTTTCCAATACCTATATTCTGTGTTCTATTATGTTGACTTTTTACATGAGGATCTGAAAAGCTGCGTTAAATCAATTGTTGTGTCCATTATTGAACTCTGCTTTGGATATTACAAAAATTGGTGTGACAGTATTATAACTGATTGCAGAGTGTGTGTTACATTTCATCCATATTGTCTCTATCTTCCATAGCTTCCCTTGTCCCAGGCTGTGCTCTGGGGTGAAGTGTCCCTGTGCCAGGCGTGTTGTGCAGTGTGGCATCACTGAGCAGTGTGGCTGCTGCCCACAGTGTGCCTGTCAGAGAGGGCAGGTGTGTGGAGGCCCCCACTGGGAGAAAGGTTACTGTGACAGACCTCCCTGTTTACTGGACACAGCCCTGTGCCCCTGGGTGTGGGGCTGCAACATCAGGGCTGGGGTCTGTGACTGCTACTCCCTACAGACTTACCACAGTCTGGACCAATGTCTCAAAACAATGAGAGGTGAGTTGTTTAGACTTAGGCACCCATGTATACGCGTGACGCATGCACACACACACACACACACACTGATATTGTTGGAAAGTACTGTAGCTTTTCAATGCTTTGAAGAATAAGCACCAGCTAGCTGTATGTGCCTTTGGAGTGGTAGGCATGTGATTTGAAAGTTGACTGTTTTCCAGGGCATGAGCTCTGGAGTGAGATGAAGAAAGGTGTGGAATGGGGCTGTGAGCTGCAGGGAAACCAGTGTGTGTATGTATGGAGAGGAGCTGTTACTCACCCATACCATTACTCTCTGAAGACACCTGTGAAAATCTTCTATGTGACAAAAGATCACAACCAACTGTTGCAACACAGTAGAGTAGAACTACATTTTGCAAAGGTGTTCAAAAACTCAACATGAATGTCTGTACATGAATCTCTCTTCTCTCCATATGCCTGTCTGAGAGAGCATGCCGCAGCAATGTGAACTGTCCTGCTTATTTCTTCCCGACTGAGCCCTACATTCCTCCTGGCCAATGCTGCCCCCTGGTGCCAGCTATCTGCAACTTTGAGAAATGCAACTTGGCACCCCCGACCTGTCCTCCTGGCCAGCAAGTCCACCATGTGGAGAGCGGGGATGGTAGTCCAGGGGCTTGTTGCCACCGGTACCAGTGTGTGCAGGGTTTGGCACTGCTTAGGCAGCAAAGGGAGATAGTAGGACAGGCAAATATAACTAAAAGAGAAGGGGTGGACAGAGAAAAGGAAAGTGCCAGGACCTGACACAACTCCCTCCAAAGATTTTCTATGGGGTTGAGATCTGGAGACTGGCTAGGCCACTCCAGGACCTTGAAATGCTTCTTACGAAGCCACTCCTTCGTTGCCCGGGCGGTGTGTTTGGGATCATTGTCATGCTGAAAGACCCAGCCACGTTTCGTCTTCAATGCCCTTGCTGATGGAAGGAGGTTTTCACTCAAAATCTCACGATACATGGCCCCATTTATTCTTTCCTTTACATGGATCAGTCGTCTTGGTCCCTTTGCAGAAAAACAGCCCCAAAGCATGATGTTTCCACCCCCATGCTTCACAGTAGGTATGGTGTTCTTTGGATGCAACTCAGCATTCTTTGTCCTCCAAACACGACGAGTTGAGTTTTTACCAAAAAGTTCTATTTTGGTTTCATCTGACCATATGACATTCTCCCAATCCTCTTATGGATCATCCAAATGCACTCTAGCAAACTTCAGACAGGCCTGGACATTAAGCAGGGGGACACGTCTGGCACTGCAGGATTTGAGTCCCTGGCGGCGTAGTGTGTTACTGATGGTAGGCTTTGTTACTTTGGTCCCAGCTCTCTGCAGGTCATTCACTAGGTCCCCCTGTGTGGTTCTGGGATTTTTGCTCACCGTTCTTGTGATCATTTTGACCCCACGGGGTGAGATCTTGCGTGGAGCCCCAGATCGAGGGAGATTATCAGTGGTCTTGTATGTCTTCCATTTCCTAATAATTGCTCCCACAGTTGATTTCTTCAAACCAAGCTGCTTACCTATTGAAGATTCAGTCTTCCCAGCCTGGTGCAGGTCTACAATTTTGTTTCTGGTGTCCTTTGACAGCTCTTTGGTCTTGGCCATAGTGGAGTTTGGAGTGTGACTGTTTGAGGTTGTGGACAGGTGTCTTTTATACTGATAACAAGTTCAAACAGGTGCCATTAATACAGGTAACGAGTGGAGGACAGAGGAGCCTCTTAAAGAAGAAGTTACAGGTCTGTGAGAGCCAGAAATCTTGCTTGTTTGTAGGTGACCAAATACTTATTTTCCACCATAATTTGCAAATAAATTCATTAAAAATCCTACAATGTGATTTTCTGGAGAAAAAAAATCTCATTTTGTCTGTCATAGTTGACGTGTACCTATGATGAAAACTACAGGCCTCTCATCTTTTTAAGTGGGAGAACATGCACAATTGGTGGCTGACTAAATACTTTTTTCCCCCACTGTAGTTGATAATGGTTTGGGAGGAATACTGTGCCAGCCAGTAGTAGATAACTCGATATCCTGTATTTCAGTGCATATTTTCATACTAAAGGAAACAATTGATCCAAGTTTTTATTTTATTTTTTATTTTATTTCATTTTTTTTTTATGACATGTTTTGTGACTTGTATTGCATACTGGTACATTTATTTCATCCCGGAGGTTACTTTATTCGATTATAACAGAGATTTGGATATAATGACGAGACACCTACAGTGAGGAGAACAAGTATTTGATACTTTTATTTTTTTTATTTCACCTTTATTTAACCAGGTAAGCCAGTTGAGAACAGGTTCTCATTTACAACTGCGACCTGGCCAAGATAAAGCAAAGTAGTGCAATAAAAACAACACAGAGTTACATATGGGGTAAAAAAAACATAAAGTCAGAAATACAACAGAAAATATATATACAGTGTGTGCAAATGTAGCAAGTTATGGAGGTAAGGCAATAAATAGGCTATAGTGCAGAATAATTACAATAGTATTAACACTGGAATGCTAGATGTGCAAGAGATTATGTGCAAATAGAGATACTGGGGTGCAAAAGAGCAAAATAAATAACAATATAGGGATGAGGTAGTTGGGTGGGCTAATTTCAGATGGGCTGTGTACAGGTGCAGTGATCGGTAAGGTGCTCTGACAACTGATGCTTAAAGTTATTGAGGGAGATAAGAGTCTCCAGCTTCAGAGATTTTTGCAATTCGTTCCAGTCATTGGCAGCAGAGAACTGGAAGGAATGGCGGCCAAAGGAGGTGTTGGCTTTGGGAATGACCAGTGAGATATACCTGCTGGAGCGCAGACTACGGGTGGGTGCTGCTATGGTGACCAATGAGCTAAGATAAGGCGGGGATTTGCCTAGCAGTGATTTATAGATGATACACTGCCGATTTAGCAGGTTTTCCTACTTACAAAGCATGTAGAGGTCTGTAATATTTATCATATGTACACTCCAACTGTGAGAGACAGAATCTAAAACAAAAATCCAGAAAATCACATTGTATGATTTTTAAGTAATTAATTTGCATTTTATTGCATGACATAAGTATTTGATCACCTACCAACCAGTAAGAATTCCGGCTCTCACAGACCTGTTAGTTTTTCTTTAAGAAGCCCTCCTGTTCTCCACTCATTACCTGTATTAACTGCACCTGTTTGAACTCGTTACCTGTATAAAAGACACCTGTCCACACACTCAATCAAACAGACTCCAACCTCTCCACAATGGCCAAGACCAGAGAGCTGTGTAAAGACATCAGGGATAAAATTGTAGACCTGCACAAGGCTGGGATGGGCTACAGGACAATAGGCAAGCAGCTCGGTGAGAAGGCAACAACTGTTTGCGCAATTATTAGAAAATGGAAGAAGTTCAAGATGACGGTCAATCACCCTTGGTCTGGGGCTCCATGCAAGATCTCACCTCGTGGGGCATCAATGATCATGAGGAAGGTGAGGGATCAGCCCAGAACTACACGGCAGGACCTGGTCAATGACCTGAAGAGAGCTGGGACCACAGTCTCAAAGAAAACCATTAGTAACACACTACGCCGTCATGGATTAAAATCCTGCAGCGCACGCAAGGTCCCCCTGCTCAAGCCAGCGCATGTCCAGGCCCGTCTGAAGTTTGCCAATGACCATCTGGATGATCCAGAGGAGGAATGGGAGAAGATCATGTGGTCTGATGAGACAAAAATTGAGCTTTTTGGTCTAAACTCCACTCGCCGTGTTTGGAGGAAGAAGAAGGATGAGTACAACCCCAAGAACACCATCCCAACCGTGAAGCATGGAGGTGGCATCATCATGCTGTAGGGATGTTTTTCAGGGACTGGGAGACTAGTCAGGATCGAGGGAAAGATGAGCGGAGCAAAGTACAGAGAGAGGAGTGGCTCTCTCTGTACTTTGCTCCGTTCAACGCAGGAGTTGCTTTGGGACAAGTCTCTGAATGTCCTTGAGTGGCCCAGCCAGAGCCCGGATTTGAACCCGATCGAACATCTCTGGAGAGACCTGAAAATAGCTGTGCAGCGACGCTCCCCATCTAACCTGACAGAGCTTGAGAGGATCTGCAGACAAGAATGGGGGAAATTCCCCAAATGCAGGTGTGCCAAGCTTGTAGCATCATACCCAAGAAGAATCAAGGCTGTAATCACTGCCAAAGGTGCTTCAACAAAGTACTGAGTAAAGGGTCTGAGTACTTAAGTAAATCTGATATTCCCATATTTTCTAAAAATCTGTTTTTGCTTTGTCATTATGGGATATTGGGTGTAGATTGATGAGTGGAAAAAACTACTTAATCCATTTTAGAATAAGGCTGTAACGTAACAAAATGTGGAAAAAGTCAAGGGGATGTGTAATTCCACTCAATTTTATGGGGTGAAAATGCAAGCTTATGTAAACTGTCCACATTAGGGAAATGAGTGCAATATAAAATAGTGAATGTCAAAATAATTTAACATGTCAGTTTAACATGATAGTTTATGTTGCCCACTCACAAACTATTACAACAATTACATCTATTTCTCACTCATTTAACCATTTAGAGTTTAAAAAATGCAGAGCGCTCTAGACTAGAGCCTCATAGTGTCTGTGCAGCAGCCTGAACGTTTGACTTCCATTTTCTTTGGATTGGTGGATACATCTCGTTATTTTAATACTTTTTGAATATTCGATGAGGGGTGTTGACGTCAACCGCCTTTATTCAATGGGGAGAGATGCTATGCTACTAGCCTCATGTCATGAATATGCATAGCCATGGCGAGACAACTCCGATATAAAGTGATTTTTCTCAAAGTTGCCACGATATCACGTGTCCAACATATCACAGTACACTCATAATAATGTAAGCACTACGAAACGTGTATTCAATCAAATAAACCTTATGTAGGAAATAATCCATTACATTTTTGTTGACCAAATTCGACACTCATTGACCACCATACAAAAACTCCTCGCTTGGTGAGCGAAATAAATGAAACACCGCCACCTGCTGGAGAAGACAGATTGTTGGCGTAGTTAGCCCTCCCGCTTCGCCTCTTCCTCTCTTATTATAATGTGAGGGAGTAATACGGGAGTAACACGGAACCTTTGTGAGACACTCCTGTCTGGGATGGATAGTCAGAGATTTGAGTGACACACACAAAGAACGAGCATTTCCGGCCAGCTCAGCGCGTCCGGAGGGTTGTCACTAGTTACCACAGCCACAAAGTTATGACTATGGCTAAACCCCGCCTATTTCTACAATTTATCTTCTTAAAATCTGATTTTAACCCTAACCACACTGCTAACCTTATGCCTAACCCTTAACTTGAATTAAGACCAAAAAGCTCATTTTTGTTTACATGTGGTAACTAGTGACAACCCGTCCGAAATGTTGTGTTGTCAATCGGTTAATACTATCCGGGATTCTTGGGACATCCATACCCTCAACCTAAACCTAATCTTAAACCCTACCCTAACCCTAACATTACCTAACCATTTTAAATGTCATCTTCAATGGGGGTAGGGACGTCCCAAGGATCCCGGATAACACAGACCTTTGTCAATCTGGCTGCTGCCTGTCATAATTTACAGTAGCTTTCACACTGTGGCTATCACTGCCAGGTTGAGAATAACACATTTCAATCCCGAAATGGTGCTGCTGACAATGATCGCTCGGTTGGCGGATGGACTGCCGCTGGCCGCATCAATGCAAGAGGACGAACAGGTTCATATTGATGGTTTTCCCTGTCAATGTCAGATAGCTATCCAAACTAGATAGCTAACACTAGCAATTCAAGCTAGCTGTCGAACTATTGGCAAATAGCTTGTCAGATAGCTTGCTAGCTAGCTACGTGTACAATATGTATCTTATCATCTATGCGGTGTCTATCTATGCAAGCCTACTTCATAATAAAACCATATTATTAGCTAGTTTGCTAGCTAGTTGTTTGATTGTGTCTATCATTGATAATTGTGTCTATCATTGAAATCCAGATGGATTTATTCCAGCTGTCAGACTAACAGGCATCTAATCAAAATGGCCAGATTTAATCAGTTTATGTGAAGTAGCTAGAGGAAGAGATATTTTTGTATATATAGTGTATGTGGACACCCCTTCAAATTAGTGAATTCGGCTATTTCAGCCCACACGTTGCTGACAGGTGTATAAAATCGAGCACACAGCCATGCGATCTCCATAGACAAACATTGATAGTAGAATGGCCTTACTGAAGAGGTCAGTGACTTTCAACATGGCACCGTCATATGATGTCACCTTTCCAACAAGTCTAATTTCTGCTCTGCTAGAGCTGCCCCGGTCAACTGTAAGCGCTGTTATTGTGAAGTGGAAACGTCTAGGAGCAACAACTGCTAAGCCGTGAAATTGTAGGCCACACAAGATCACAGAACGGGACTGCCAAGTGTTGAACCGCGTAAAAATCGTCTGTACTCGGTTGCAACACTCACTACAGAGTTCCAAACTGCCTCTGGAAGCAATGTCAGCACAATAACTGTTTGTCGGGAGCTTCATGAAATGGTTTCCATTGCCGAGCAGCTGCACACAAGCCTAAGATCACCATCCGCAATGCCAAGTGTCGGCTGGAGTGGTGTAAAGCTCACCACCGTTGGACTCTGGAGCAGTGAAAACGTGTTCTCTGGAGTGATGAATCACGCTTCACCATCTGGCAGTCCGCCGGACGAATATGGGTTTGGTGGATGCCTTGAGAACGCTACCTGCCCCAATGCATAGTGCCAACTGTAAAGTTTGGTGGGGGAGGAATAATGGTCTGGGGCTGTTTTTCATGGTTCAGGCTAAGCCCCTTAGTTCCAGTGACGGGAAATCTTAACGCTACAGCCTACAATGACATTCTAGACGATTCTGTGCTTCCAGATTTGTGGCAACAGTTTGGGGAAGGCCCTTTCCTGTTTCAGCATGACAATGCCCCAGTGCACAAAGCGAGGTCCATACAGAAATGGTTTGTCGTGATCGGTGTGGAAGAACTTGACTGGCCTGCACAGAGCCCTGACCTCAACCCCACCGAACACCTTTGGGATGAATTGTAACGCTGACTGCGAGCCAGGCCTAATCGCCCAGAATCAGTGCCCGATCTCAATAATGCTCTTGTAGCAGAATGGAAGCAATGTTCCAACATCTAGTGGAAAGCCTTCCCAGAAGAGTGGAGGCTGTTATAGCAGCAAAGGGGGGACCAACTCCATATTAATGCCCATGATTTTGGAATGAGATGTTCGACGAGCAGGTGTCCACATACTTTTGGCAATGTAGTGTAGCTACTAATGAGTCAAAGACCAATGCTCAATGCAGAACAGCCATTTGTATACTATGCTGAATGATGTTGTGATACTGTATCTGTATCCAACTTGTAAATCGCTCTGGATTAGAGCATCTGCTAAATGACGAAAATATAAAATGTATCTCCTCTGGTTAATCAAATCGCTAAGTCCATTGAGTAAATTCTGCTCCCTTTAGTTAATTTGCAATTCGTGATGGTCTACTGTACTCCCGTGTACAATTGTTCATCAAAAACTGAATTCATCCTTGTAACTTTCTTATAGTTGTAGTGAATCAGGCAGCAATGTATTTCTAGGACGTGTAGTATTTATGAGTTGCAGTAGGCTACATATGAGTCTTGCCACCTGCTTGATGAACTTTAACACGTTTCCCTTGCTTTCCTATCTGCTCTCCCAAAGGGAAGTGAGAAGGTTGGTCTCTTCTCTGCACTGTAACCAATGCTTGGACATCATACATATTGTACCTGTGTGTTACTGTGTTTACCATACCCAGACCATCCGCTTCTTTGTCAATAACATTTATATTGATCCCAATCATTGGTTCAGTGTCCTCTTAAATCTGCTTGGTTGTTTAATCTTGCTCTGTCCTGTGTTTAGTTGGGTCGAGACCTGCAACAGTACCAGAGCCAGGCTAAACAGCTGTTTAGGAAACTCAATGACCAGAGTCCCACACGTTGCACATTAGAGGCTGGCTCCATGTCCTTCCAGTGAGTTCAAACCAGTTAGGGGAAAGACGCCACACTCGCAAATCATAATTAACACACCATTCTTAAATGTAATGACATGCACTAATATGCAGGTATCCACTGACCTTTATGTGTCTCAGACACTGACTCTCATGTTTCCCTTATGTTTCTCCCAACAGCTACGTCATAGAAAAAGGAGTAGTCTACCTAGTGCTGTCTGAAGCAAGCTTTCCCAAAAAACTTGCCTTTGCTTACCTGGAAGACCTGCAGGCAGAGTTCCATGAACAGCACGGGAAGAAAGTCCCCACTGTGTCTCGACCGTACTCCTTCATTGAGTTTGGTGAGATTAAATAAAATATATTATCATTAGAATCCCTACTAACAACCCAACGTTGTTTAAAGGTCCAATGCAGCCGTTTTTATCTCAATATTAAATTATTTCTGGGTAACAATTAACGACCTTATTCTGTTTTCAATTAAAATTGTCAAAAATAAACTAAAATGGCTTCTTAGCAAAGAGCAATTTCTCAAGCAAGGATTTTGCTTGGACTGTCTGGAGGTGGTCTGAGTTGGGAGGGGAAAAATCTAAACTAGCTGTTATTGGCAGAGAGGTTTGGAACTCTCTTTCTTATTGGTCTATTAACTAATTTACCACCTGGTGATGTCACCAGGCAGGCCAAAACTGCATCCCACCACAACAGGCGGACATTTCAGGCAGTCTTTTCAAACAGCTCGTACACTAAAATGGCATTATCATACTTTTCTGAATTGTACAGTAGTATTCCAACCTCGTAGTGTGGATATATATGTAAAACACAGGAAAATCATGTTTTTGACTGCAATGGACCTTTAATAGGAAACCCTAGCATGAAATTATAAAAAAATATGCCATAAAATCCTGCAACGTTTTCCTCTCTGTCGACAGACACCTACATTCAGAAGACCAAGAAGTCGTACATAGACAGCCGAGCCCGTAGGAACCTGGGCAGCATCAACACAGAGCTGCAGGACGTCCAGAGGATCATGGTGGCCAACATTGAGGAAGTGTTGCAACGAGGGGAGGCCTTGTCTGGTAATGTCTGTTTACTCGTCCTTCTCATAGATTTACAGTGATAATGGATAATGTAGGTCAGGGGTAGTCAACTACTATTGGAGAAGGTCTGGTACACAAATTTCCTAAGTGGCAAAGGTCCGGATGGATATTGTTATTTATCGGCATAGTAACAATCCCCACCGCGCAACCCATCAGTTTCAAAACTGTTCAAAATGTTCACACCCCTCTTGTTGTCGAAGACAACCGAAGTTTGCTAACTTGCAAGATCAAACTTCTTGGTAACAGCAGAGACCATCAATCCACTCCTGGATCAAGTTCCCTGCTGCCTAAATGTGTTTTGTTTGTCAATTATTATTATTACGTTTTATTTTTTTGTGGAAAGAAATAGTGCCCCTTGGCATATACCGCAGTATGGTACAGGAACGGAATGAAGGTATGACAATCTTGATACTGCCCAACCCTACTATCTAAGGTCTGTCAGTGAATGACATAACAAGAGGAAAACTTCCCATGCACTACCAAATTTCAAAATTGCACCTTGTGCATTCTACTATTATAACTCTCAACAGCAGTAAGTTGGTTCGTGGTCCGTATTGACCCTGTTCTGTGTCCGGATCCGGACCGTGGTCCGCCAGTTGAGTATGGCTGATGTAGGTCCTCGATGTATAACTGAAACACCTCTATTACACAAACCTTTATCTATGATTCTCTGATGTCTAACTTGGGCAGGGCTTATTGCATGAATTAGCATGAATGCACATCATTGCAGCAAAACACATTGTTAAAATGTAAATTATGTTGGGTAGAATTCACTAGATTAACTAATAAAAGGGATTGCCACTTCTCAGCTGCATACTGTTTGTCAAGCTCTGACAATAAAGAATAGTGCTTAAGTCACAAGAGGAAGCAGATGCCATTCTCACTTGTGTTAAATGAGGATTTGTTCTGGTTTCTGTTCCCTCTCTTTGCTCACCTGAATCCACTCACATCACATCCAGCTCTGGACTCCAAGGCCAGTAATCTGTCCAGCCTGTCAAAGAAGTACAGAAGTGATGCCAAGTACCTGAACACTCGCTCCACCTACGCTAAGCTGGCCGCCGGAGGGGTCTTCCTTATGCTCATTGTCTACGTCCGCTTCTGGTGGCTCTGAGAGAGGAGAGGAGAGGAGACAGGAGGGGTTGGAGAAGAAGAGCTGATAGAAGTTTAGCTGTGGTCTCACATTCCATCCAATATGGGATCCCTCCTTTTAACACAAGACTGTTGAAGTAGACACACACCGACACCGCATGTTATTTTTCCAACTGTCTGTCCATAGATCTATCATGTAATTACAAATGTTATGTTTTATTAACAATTACACAGTCATCCTGTAGTGGTTATGCCTTGGAGTTGAAAGAGTGTGAGTGCTTGTATTGCGTGTGACAGAGGAAATTGTATTTTCCTGTGTGTGAGTGTGTGTTACCAAAACCTGTATGATAACAACTCTTCTCTTATCGATTTAATCGTGTATACTGTATAGCAGTACAGAAAAAATCTACATAATTCTATTTACCCAGAGGACATCATAAGGGCTTTGGCATTTAATAACACTACTATTATTATGTTGGTATAGTGGTTTGGTGGAGATTTCTTAAATGTTAACCTGCTATACTGTGGTGATCAATCACATTACCTGTGGTATTGGCTGCAGAAATAATATTTCTCATTCACCTTCATCTCCACACTGAGTGAGTGGACCAGTTTTACACCAGACACATTCATTGGATGACGTCTAAAGGGTTCATTTCTTTTATTTTGTAAAAGGTTTACACAAGTGAAGGCTAGATGTGAAAAATATTTTTATCTAGATGAGAATGATAGCTGGCTTATGCTAATTGTGTCAGGGTTAATGAATTTCAACTTAACTGTTTCATCTACTATGAATAAAGTGATTTGCACAAAAGTATTTGATTTCTACTGGAGAATTCAAACTTGCTCACAAATCTGGATCAATATACATAAGTGGAGGCTGCTGAGGGGAGGACGGCTCATAATAATGGCTGGAATGGAGTTCATTTATTTTTCATTTTTTCTTTAACCTTTATTTAACCAGGTAAGCCAGTTGAGAACAAGTTCTCATTTACAACTGCGACCTGGCCAAGATAAAGCAAAGCAGTGCGATAAAAACAACAACACAGAGTTACATATGGGGTAAACAAAACATAAAGTCAAAAATACAAACAGAAAATATATATACAGTGTGTGCGAATGTAGTAAGTTATGGAGGTAAGGCAATAAATAGGCCATAGTGCAAAATAGTTACAATTTCGTATTAACACTGGAATGATAGATGTGCGAAAGATGATGTGCAAATAGAGATACTGGGGTGCAAATTAGCAAAATAAATAACAATATGGGGATGAGGTAGTTGGGTGGGCTAATTTCAGAATGGCTGTGTACAGGTGCAGTGATCGGTAAGCTGCTCTGACAACTGACGCTAAAAGTTAGTGAGGGAGATAAGAGTCTCCAGCTTCAGAGATTTTTGCAGTTCGTTCCAGTCATTGGCAGCAGAGAACTGGAAGGAATGGCGGCCAAAGGAGGTGTTGGCTTTGGGGATGACTAGTGAGATATACCTGCTGGAGCGCAGACTATGGGTGGGTGTTGCTATGGTGACCAGTGAGCTAAGATAAGACAGGGATTTGCCTAGCAGTGATTTATAGATGACCTGGAGCCAGTGGGTTTGGCGTTGAATATGTAGTGAGGGCCAGCCAACAAGAGCGTACAGATCACAATGGTGGGTAGTATATGGGGCTTTGGTGCCAAAACGGATGGCACTGTGATAGACTACATCCAATTTGCTGAGTAGAGTGTTGGAGGCTATTTTGTAAATTACATCGCCGAAGGATCGGTAGGATAGTCAGTTTTACGAGGGCATGTTTGGCAGCATGAGTGAAGGAGGCTTTGTTGCGAAATAGGAAGCCAATTCTAGATCTAACTTTGGATTGGAGAGGCTTAATGTGAGTCTGGAAGGAGAGTTTACAGTCTAACCAGACACCTAGGTATTTGTAGTTGTCCACATACTCTAGGTCAGACCCGCCGAGAGAAGTGATTCTAGTCGGGTGGGCGGGTGCAAGCGGCGTTTGGTTGAAGAGCATGCATTTAGTTTTACTAGTGTTTAAGAGCAGTTGGAGGCTACGGAAGGAGTGTTGTATGGCGTTGAAGCTCGTTTGGAGGTTTGTTAACACAGTGTCCAATGAAGGGCCAGATGTATACAAAATGGTGTCGTCCGCATAGACGTGGATCCGAGTTTCACCAGCAGCAAGAGCAACATCATTGATATACACAGAGAATAGAGTCGGCCCGAGAATTGAACCCTGTGGCACCCCCATAGAGACGGCCAGAGGTCCAGACAACAGGCCCTCCGATTTGACACATTGAACTCTATCTGAGAAGTAGTTGGTGAACCAGGTGAGGCAGTCATTAGAGAAACCAAGGCTATTTAGTCTGCCAATAAGATAATAATGGTTGATACCATTCCATTGACTCCATTCCAGCCATTATTACGAGCCGTCCTCCACTCAGCAGCCTCCACTGATATACATACTATACAGTACTAATAGAAACTGTTGTATTCCTGCCCTGTGCTGTGCTTGTTCATGAACTTTGGACACATAGCCAGTGGTGGTCCTTACATACCACCAGGTCAAAGTCAGACCTCTAAATGCGTAAGAGGAAGATGTGTCAACAGCTCAGTTTGCAAAATAAGGGGCTTATAGTGAGGTGATGCATTCAAATTGTTATGTTTGTTTAAAAGGACCAACGACTGGTAGGCCTCCTGGTTCATACAGCAGCTCTTCAAGCTAGACCTATCCCAGCCAGCAGCTGGTGCCCTTTGCTTATGATAATCTTGCAAGTGAAAATGGCAAACTCTTGCAACTTGAAACACTGTTGCGGCAAAGACGTTTGCTGCACAAAATCAAAGGGTAGTAATGGCAGGAAAATATAGACTGCTGCTTCTGGGGTAGAAAAAAAACACTAAATGCACTACATACATTTAGAAAGTACTGCAGCCTGTTTCTGCTGACATAGTTTGAACAGGAAGTGGGCATAGCAGAAATGAGAATCAGCAGAGGGAAGCGTCAGCAAAGATGGTTTTGGATAACTGAAGATGTCCCACTCAGGCCATTTACCAATGAAAAAAATGCTCACAGTTCCGGTCTGCTTAAAGGGTGGCTCTCCCATAGGCACCAATGCATTAGCAGCTCGGACTGGTCTGCTTAGTTCATTGACTGTATATGAACCAGAATAAAGGAACGAGTGAGATGCCTCGCTTTCTTCTCCGTCTCTTGCGTCAGTAGCGTGCAGAGCTAACCACAGGGCACAGGCTAACCTTTTCACCTCTCACCATACACACATCTTCAAGGGAAGTGTGTGTGGTTGACCTTGTAGCAACAAACTAGATCTTACCATATCCAAGAGTCTTCACAGGACGGACACATCAGATACCGATGGTTCTTAATGGACTCAAACTGATAGCACACAGCCTGCAGTCATCACTATAGTATTCATTATTCTAGTCTACAGTGGGGAAAAAAGTATTTAGTCAGCCACCAATTGTGCAAGTTCTCCCACTTAAAAAGATGAGAGAGGCCTGTAATTTTCATCATAGGTACACGTCAACTATGACAGACAAATTGAGATTTTTTTTCTCCAGAAAATCACATTGTAGGATTTTTAATGAATTTATTTGCAAATTATGGTGGAAAATAAGTATTTGGTCACCTACAAACAAGCAAGATTTCTGGCTCTCACAGACCTGTAACTTCTTCTTTAAGAGGCTCCTCTGTCCTCCACTCGTTACCTGTATTAATGGCACCTGTTTGAACTTGTTATCAGTATAAAAGACACCTGTCCACAACCTCAAACAGTCACACTCCAAACTCCACTATGGCCAAGACCAAAGAGCTGTCAAAGGACACCAGAAACAAAATTGTAGACCTGCACCAGGCTGGGAAGACTGAATCTTCAATAGGTAAGCAGCTTGGTTTGAAGAAATCAACTGTGGGAGCAATTATTAGGAAATGGAAGACATACAAGACCACTGATAATCTCCCTCGATCTGGGGCTCCACGCAAGATCTCACCCCGTGGGGTCAAAATGATCACAAGAACGGTGAGCAAAAATCCCAGAACCACACGGGGGGACCTAGTGAATGACCTGCAGAGAGCTGGGACCAAAGTAACAAAGCCTACCATCAGTAACACACTATGCTGCCAGGGACTCAAATCCTGCAGTGCCAGACGTGTCCCCCTGCTTAAGCCAGTACATGTCCAGGCCCGTCTGAAGTTTGCTAGAGTGCATTTGGATGATCCAGAAGAGGATTGGGAGAATGTCATATGGTCAGATGAAACCAAAATAGAACTTTTTGGTAAAAACTCAACTCGTCGTGTTTGGAGGACAAAGAATGCTGAGTTGCATCCAAAGAACACCATACCTACTGTGAAGCATGGGGGTGGAAACATCATGCTTTGGGGCTGTTTTTCTGCAAAGGGACCAGGACGACTGATCTGTGTAAAGGAAAGAATGAATGGGGCCATGTATCGTGAGATTTTGAGTGAAAACCTCCTTCCATCAGCAAGGGCATTGAAGATGAAAGGTGGCTGGGTCTTTCAGCATGACAATGATCCCAAACACACCGCCCGGGCAACAAAGGAGTGGCTTCGTAAGAAGCATTTCAAGGTCCTGGAGTGGCCTAGCCAGTCTCCAGATCTCAACCCCATAGAAAATCTTTGGAGGGAGTTGAAAGTCCGTGTTGCCCAGCGACAGCCCCAAAACATCACTGCTCTAGAGGAGATCTGCATGGAGGAATGGGCCAAAATACCAGCAACAGTGTGTGAAAACCTTGTGAAGACTTACAGAAAACGTTTGACCTCTGTCATTGCCAACAAAGTGTCACGGTTTCGGCCGAGACTGCTCCTCCTCCTGGTTCGGGCAGGCTTCGGCGTTCGCCGTCCCCGGAGTACTAGCTGCCACCGTTGAATGTTTCGTGGTGTGATTGCTTTGGTCTGTCTTGTACACCTGTGTCTGTTTGTGTTCTGATTACGTGTCCTATAAGTTCCCTGTTTTGTATTGGTTTGATTGTGTGTTGTTGTCTGCCTGTCGTTCGGAGCTGCGTGTTTGCGCTCTGTTTGTTTTGTTTAGTGTTTACGCATGTTTGCGTAATTCCCTCGCCTCTGTTTTTGTTCGAGGTCGTGTATTGTACTTTTGCACTTTGGACTAGTAAAGTCTGTTGGACGAAACCTCTGTGTCCTGCGCCTGACTCCTCCACCACATCCACATCGGTTCTTCTGACACAAAGGGTATATAACAAAGTATTGAGAAACTTTTGTTATTGACCAAATACTTATTTTCCACCATAATTTGCAAATAAATTCATTAAAAATCCTACAATGTGATTTTCTGGAGAAAAAAAATCTCATTTTGTCTGTCATAGTTGACGTGTACCTATGATGAAAATTACAGGCCTCTCTCATCTTTTTAAGTGGGAGAACTTGCACAATTGGTGGCTGACTAAATACTTTTTTTCCCCACTGTATGTTCCATTGCTGGAATCAGCCCATATTCTTCATATGAGCTCTTGAGAGAGTAAATTAATGCAGTGTTTGGTTTTCGCCAGGCATAAAGGGACCCACGTCGTCCAAAAAGTAACACTTTTGAATCATCTGTCCATAAAACATTCCTCCAAGAGTCTTGATGATCATCCAGGTGCTTTTTGGCAAATTTGAGTAAACTTTTTGGATGACATGGGTCCCATTATGCTTGGCGAAATCGAAACACTGCATTCCACATTAAGAACTTCATACCGTATGAAAATGTATGCACTCACTAACTGAAAGTCGCCCTGGATAAGAGCGTCTGCTAAATGACTAAAATCTAAAAAATGTAAAAATACCAATGGTCAAGCGTGGTGGTGGTGGTGTGATGGTTTGTGGATGCTTTGCTGCCTCATGACCTGGACGACTTGCCTTAATAGAAGGAACCATGAATTCTGCTCTATCAGAGAATTCTACAGAAGAATGTCAGGCCATCCGTCTGTGAGCTGAAGCTGAAGTGAAGCTGGGTCCTGCAGCAAGACAATGATTCAAAACACACAATCAAGTATACATGAAATTGGCTAAAAAGCAACACATTTGAAGTTTTGGAATGGCCTAGTCAAAGTCCTATTCCCAATTGAGATGTTGTGGCAGGACTTGAAACGAGCCGTTCATGCTTGAAAACCCACAAATGTGGCTGAGTTAAAGCAGTTCTGTATGCAAGAGTGGGTCAAAATTCCCCCACAGCGATGTGAGAGACTGATCAACAACTACAGGAAGCATTTGGTTGCAGTCATTGCAGCCAAAGGTGGCAAAAACCAGTTAGTGAGTGTAATTGGGCAATTACTTTTTCACACAGGGGAATTGGGTGTTGCATAACTTTGTTAATTAAATAAATAAAATAAGTATACATTTTGTTTGTTATTTGTAAAACTCAGGTTCCCTTTATCTAATATTAGGTGTTGGTTGAAGATCTGATAACATTCAGTATCAAAAATATGCAAAAATAGAGAAAATCAGAAAGGGGGCAAATGCTTTTTCATGGCACTCTATGCCACTCACTGACAGTCACTCAATTAGCCCATGTCAGTAAAAAAAATTTAGATTGGTAAATTAGTCTAGTTAGTCTAGCCAGCTATCTAAACTTGTAGTAATCATGATCGAATTACCGACAGTGCACGGAAGGCATGTGCCCAGAAGGGCTGTGGTCAATTTGAATTCAGGAAATAAACTTAAATAAATGTGTGAAATAATAATAATAATGTGTGAAAACTGCATTTATTTTCAATGGCTTCTCAATAAACTGAGGAGTAGAAGCTATTTATTTCAAAACTTTTTCCATTTTTGAATTTTAAATTAGAATCACTTCCTGATTGACTGCCTTCAATTCTAATTGACCCCAGCCCTGGTGCCCAGGGGCCCTCACCTCACTCTCACTCAGATATCATATTGACATGGCAAAATGTGTAGAATTTCAGGAAATTAGCTTTAAAACAAAACAAAAAAATCCCCACCCCAGGGCAAAACGTCCTGTTAAGCAAAAGTTTTGGTTTACCTTTTGTTAATAAAATACTTTTTCTGCTAACAGATCCCTATGTACGTATTAAATTATAGTTTTAATCCTGTTGCTGAGTTAATATGAGTTAATGTGTAGCGGCTATTCGTATAGGCTATGTGTTTGTAAATCGGTGAATGAAGCTACAGCAACCAATGTGGAGGTCATTTTTGCTTGTTTTTGCTGTTCTCCAAATAGCATTTTAGAGTTTGTAAATTGTATAGAAATGCAGTAAATGAGCTTCATCATCCCCACTTCAATAACATCACAACAACTGTTAAATGTCTGCTGTACCTTGAAGTTGATCCTGAGTTTGAGCATTGGCAAACAAAGGAAGCTCCCTCCTTTCTGCTGAGCCTCCATCTCTGCGTTAGCCTCGGTCCGGGTGGTACGAGAGGCTGGTCTGCTGGGTCAGTTGCAGAAGACGGTTTTGAGGCCTCACTGCATCCCCGCAGCAGCTGCTCAGTTATGGATTTTACCAGAACTCTGTCGAAGCGTTATAAAATCCAAATTCTTCCAGCCGGTCCTTATTACACCCCTGAACACGCTGTGGGTACGCAGGTCCTGGGGATATGCCTGAGTCATGGAGCAGCCGGATGCAGAGCAGAACTCAGACAGGACTTGTCTGACAAGATGCTGAGATGTAGCTGTCATGTCTGCTGCCTGTTGGGAGGGTCCATCTAGGGCTGACGGCCTAATCTTTGATAGTAGCCTTATCACCAGTATGCTGACCAGACAGATGAAATAATATTTGATGGTAGCCTTATCACCAGTATGCTGATCAGACAGATGAAATAATCTTTGCCGGATTCTATCAAGGACTTCAGAAGGAATACAGTGGCACTGCTGACATCTGGGGTGGTTGAGACTTCCCTCAGGTGGCCAGACCTGCTGGTGATATACAACTCCTTTCCTTCCATGTCAGTATCAACTCCTGTTAGTACTCCAGAGGTCCCCATGCTGCCAGAAGGAGTGGAGGATCGAGGCGAGGCTTTACCACTCGATGGTCGGCTAGTCGTGGTCAAAAGTTTTGAGAATGACACAAATATTAATTTTCACAAAGTCTGCTGCCTCAGTTTTTATGATGGCAATTTGCATATACTCCAGAATGTTATGAAGAGTGATCAGATTAATTGCAATTAATTGCAAAGTCCCTCTTTGCCATGAAAATGAACTTCATCCCAAAAAAACATTTCCACTGCATTTCAGCCCTGCCACAAAAGGACCAGCTGCCATCATGTCAGTGATTCTCTCGTTAACACAGGTGAGAGTGTTGACGAGGACAAGGCTGGAGATCACTCTGTCATGCTGATTGAGTTAGAATAACAGACTGGAAGCTTTAAAAGGAGGGTGGTGCTTGAAATCATTGTTCTTCCTCTGTTAACCATGGTTACCTGCAAGGAAACACGTGCCGTCATCATTGCTTTGCACAAAAAGGGCTTCACAGGCAAGGATATTGCTGCTAGTAAAAATAGCTTGTCCGGAGAAGACAAGGTGAGCGCTACCATCAGTCCTGTGTCATGCCAACAGTAAAGCATCCTGAGACCATTCATGTGTGGGGTTGCTTCTCAGCCAAGGGAGTGGGCTCACTCACAATTTTGCCTAAAAACACAACCATGAATAAAGAATGGTACCAACACATCCTCAGAGAGCAACTTCTCCCAACCATCCAAGAACAGTTTGGTGACGAACAATGCCTTTTCCAGCATGATGGAGCACCTTGCCATAAGGCAAAAGTGATAACTAAGTGGCTCGGGGAACAAAACATTGACATTTTGGGTCCATGGCCAGGAAACACCCCAGACCTTAATCCCATTGAGAACTTGTGGTCAATCCTCAAGAGGCGGGTGGACAAACAAAAACCCACAAATTCTGACAAACTCCAAGCATTGATTATGCAAGAATGGGCTGCCATCAGTCAGGATGTGGCCCAGAAGTTAATTGACAGCATGCCAGGGCGGATTGCAGAGGTTTTGAAAAAGAAGGGTCAACACTGCAAATATTGACCCTTTGCATAAACTTAATGTAATTGTCAATAAAAGCCTTTGACACTTATGGAATGCTTGTAATTATACTTCAGTATACCATAGTTACAAAAATATATAAAAACACTGAAGCAGCAAACTTTGTGAAGACCAATACTTGTGTCATTCTCAAAACTTTTGACCATGACCGTATGTGTGTAACAACACCTCGTCATGTTCCCCATAGTCTACATCCTGGGCTGCTGAAGTGGTTTGCATGACCTGTTTCAACATCACCCTAGTGAACAGGCTGATGGTGTCGTTGTAGGCCTGTGATGAGCTAAAAGAGCTCTTCTCTAAGGCTGAAGCAGAGTAACAGGAAGCACCTAGGATGCTGTGGCTTGACATGCTACTGGAGGGAGGGTCCTTCCTGATCCAACCCCCATGATGAGGGAGGAATCAGAGAAGGCAGCAAACAGCACTTCACAGACTCCTCTTCAACGCTGAATAGGACTTCAGAGGAGGCCATACAATATCAAAGAGGAGAGCTGTCTTGCCCTGCCATCTCTGTGTGGACAGCCTCCATTAGGGTGTCCACGATTGACATCATGTTCTTTCTCATGTCATTGATGGACATTTCTGGAATGGTATATTCCCTGGTGTCAATGATACAACTCCTTACTATGGGAAACATCACATCATGCACCTTGTCAGGGATGGGAGTGCCAGGGAGGTTAATCTCTAACTCCGTCTCTGATCTATGACCCTTTGAAGATCTGGACAAGAAACTATGACCCCTTGAAAATGTAGACAATGATGAGTGGGTCCTGGGTGTCTCTTGAAAGACTTGTTCACTGTCACCCTCACTTCTCTCTTCCTCCTTCAACATCGTTGTTGATCTGAAGGAGCTCCCTGGATGTGTTCATTCTCTCTGAGATGGATATTTCACTCTGGATAGTGACCACGATTTTTGGCTTCAGCCCTGTGAGGAAATCCTTAAGCTTCTTCTGCACATTGGTGCAGATGGTCTTAGCCATTGACCAAAGCTTTTCCTCTGATATTTTCACAGTCAATCCCCAGGAGGCCACTGTTGAGGTCTCTGAAACTCCCCCACTGTTTTCTAGTAGCAAAGAGTCTGTTGGCCACATAGTGGACTCAGTGTTCTGGAAAATAGTCGCCACCCCTTTGACAAAGGTTCCCATTATTCCAGAGGCTGCGTCCTGAGAGGATGTAAAGGCGATCTCTGATGATAAGCCAGATGACAAGCCAGTCCGAAGACCTTCCTGAAGACTAGTATGGCTATCCTGCATAATAATGATGACTGGAAGTCATAAGACTAATATCCTATTTTGCCTGAAATTCCTTGCTAGAGAGCTTTTGAATGCTCTGACAGACTAGCCGATGACTGTGTGAATATTACACTCTCTCCTTAGCTCAGTTCAGAATATTGAAGACTCATGTCCTGAAAGGTTGAGGGGGACTGGGAAACAGTGAAATCACTGAGGTGTGACAACACCATTCACAAACCAACCAGCCTCCAGGGACTCCAGAGGAACTTGCTACAGCTGAGGATTTGCTGCCCACTTTTGAGACCTCTGTGTTGAAGATGTTCACAGGCTGCTGTGAACACCTCTTGAGTGCTGTCGTCTAGATCAGAGAGCCAGATAGCTGGTTAAGGTTGGCTCTCACTGGAACTCTACTGAGCTGGGTGCTGGGTAATTGGTCCTCACCAGTGGAAATGTTGTCCTTTTGCAGAATTTCTGAAAACTCCTGAAGAGGAGCATCTTTAGCCATGCCTTGGTCTCGAGCAAAAAGTGTAAGAAAGTCCCTCATCTTTGCTCACATACGGCCATAGACATAGGAAGATGAACACTGCTGCAAGGTTTGCACAGGTAGTCTATCACTCCCAGATCAGGTAGACCTATCCCTATAGGATGCTGTTGTATGCCTAGCTACAGTAAATGAAAACAGTATGGTAAACTGGCATTCAATATATGAGATGCCATAGCCTACACACACAAATGGGCTCTCCTATAATCAAACTCATGGCTCCTGACAAATAAGATGTCAAAATTGTGCTATTCCTTACTGAGGCTCCCATTAACCTATTACCAGCTAGCACATAACGTTCTGAGAACCATATGTTTCTTAGAGTTTGGTGAGAGCGTGGTTGTCCCATGGTTATTTTGCATACAACCTTTCCACAATGTTCTGGGAATGGTGCTGGATAGTTACTTGGCTTTGGAACTTTCTCTGCACATTTAAGGAACTTGACAAAATAACGTTATTTTCTTGATATTACTTTAACATAATGTTTCCTAAAAGTTCAAACATGGTTACATTTATTTGAATTTTTGGTAATGTTCTACGAATGTTCTCCATCTGGTTTGACATTGGGAATGTCCTCCAATAGTTCAGAGAATGTTAAGAAACAACGTTTTCCTGTGGGAATTTCAATACTTCAGCATAACGTTTCCACCAGGTTTCTTCATAGATAGTTCTATTTAAAGTCATGTATTCTGAAATTGTTCCGAGAACATTAAGAAACATTCTTCTGTGGGAATTTCAGTACTATCGTTTAATTTCAGCATAACGTTTTCTACAGGTTTCCTAATGGTTATGTTTAAAGTCATGTTCTCAGAATTTTTTGAGAACGTTAAGAAACAACGTTCTTCTGTGGGAATTTCAGTACTTCAGCATTACATTTTCTGCAGGTTTCCTCATGGTTCTATTTAAAGTCATGTTCTCAGAACATTAAGAAAACTTTCCATAAAAACCACAAGAAAGCATTTGTAACGTTCAAAGAACGTTCGAAGAATGTTATTTAAAAACATATACATTCGTTCCCAGAACCAATGGGAAAGCAAAAACTTACGTTCTCAAAACTTCCAAAGAACCAAATGTGCTGGTTGGGCAGGGTTTAAAAAAACATCACTTGGTAAAAACCGACATAAAAAGCACATAAACTATATTTTTTAGCACATAAACAATCCTATAAAATCACGTAGGCCTACCTTACTGTCATCCTCCATATCTCAATTATGTTGAAGGAACATCAACTTCTGTTTTGAGTTACTTTGTTTAAATCAGGCTGCTACTTCTCTAATAGTGATCTCCTGCCTACTGAAGTTCATACATGCTGACGCCAACAAACCAGTTGGCATCAATGGATGATGTCACGTTAGGTGACTATGACCTCACAAAGACGGATTCTTTACGGCTTTTCACCAGTGTTTTTCACATGTTGTGTCCTTAGCCCAGGGCTATCCTCATTCCTAAACTACCCTGGCCTGGGCTATTTTACCCTCTTTTCACACAACAAGTAGAGTAATGATGTGATGTCGGGTCATTGAAAAAAAAGTGTAGTTTTTATAGCCTACAACATTTCTGTGTACAATCATTTCTTGGAATATTAGAACATTTGGTCTATATAATGTCTATACCCCATGAATAAAGTTTGTGTTAGTCTTCTTTATAAACCACAAACTTTAATGCCAAATCTATATAAATTGCATACTTTTATTGTCAAGTTCAAGATTTATAAATCACATTGTTGCTGTTGATTTTGTATGCACAATTTACGATAAATGTTTTATAAATGAGAATCCAGAACTCTGTTATTGGTTAGCCCAAAAATGCCGGAACTAACCCCAGGGCAGGGCCAGTTTAGTGTTACTTGGTTGGTGATAGCTGCAGTATCATGAAAAGCTTAATTCATGGCTGTATATATTGCAGGGTGGGTGCTCATTCGGTAGCAAGGTCAGAAAACCAACTTCTCCTTTAACTCTAGTGTGGTTATACTCCAAGCCACAAGCTGGTTGTCAACATTCCAAACAACAGCCCTGTTCTGTAGCTCCTCTGTAGCTAGAGAGTGCATGATTGGTGACCTTCTGAATTTCCTGTCAAATGTATTTTTTTATATCTATCAGCATCTCGCAACTTAAGCAATTGCTTCCTCGCACCTCTGCAAATTTCAAAGCCCCCATGTTCCCCTTTCTGTTTGGAAACCATCAAGTCACAATGAACAATCTCTCATTGCCCCTGTCTACACTGCCCCTGTCTCCACATACTGTAAGTTCTCTAAAACTGTAAAAGTGGAAACAAAGTAGAAAATTAGTATGTGATGATTTATACAAAAACCTCAGACACAGATCTACTACAGTGAGGGAAAAAAATATTTGATCCCCTGCTGATTTTGTACGTTTGCCCACTGACAAAGACATGATCAGTCTATAATTTTAATGGTAGGTTTATTTGAACAGTGAGAGACAGAATAACAACAACAAAATCCTGAAAAACGCATGTCAAAAATGTTATAAATTTAAGTATTTGACCCCTCTGCAAAACATGACTTAGTATTGATGGCAAAACCCTTGTTGGCAATCACAGAGGTCAGACGTTTCTTGTAGTTGGCCACCAGGTTTGCACACATCTCAGGAGGGATTTTGTCCCACTCCTCTTTGCAGATCTTCTCCAAGTCATTAAGGTTTCGAGCCTGACGTTTGGCAACTCGAACCTTCAGCTCCCTCCACAGATTTTCTATGGGATTAAGGTCTGGAGACTGGCTAGGCCACTCCAGGACCTTAATGTGCTTCTTCTTGAGCCACTCCTTTGTTGCCTTGGCCGTGTGTTTTGGGTCATTGTCATGCTGGAATACCCATCCACGACCCATTTTCAATGCCCTGGCTGAGGGAAGGAGGTTCTCACCCAAGATTTGACGGTACATGGCCCCGTCCATCGTCCCTTTGATGCGGTGAAGTTGTCCTGTCCCCTTAGCAGAAAAACACCCCCAAAGCATAATGTTTCCACCTCCATGTTTGACGGTGGGGATGGTGTTCTTGGGGTCATAGGCAGCATTCCTCCTCCTCCAAACACGGCGAGTTGAGTTGATGCCAAAGAGCTCCATTTTGGTCTCATCTGACCACAACACTTTCACCCAGTTCTCCTCTGAATCATTCAGATGTTCATTGGCAAACTTCAGACGGCCCTGTATATGTGCTTTCTTGAGCAGGGGGACCTTGCGGGCGCTGCAGGATTTCAGTCCTTCACGGCGTAGTGTGATACCAATTGTTTTCTTGGTGACTATGGTCCCAGCTGCCTTGAGATCATTGACAAGATCCTCCCGTGTAGTTCTGGGCTGATTCCTCACCGTTCTCATGATCATTGCAACTCCACGAGTTGAGATCTTGCATGGAGCCCCAGGCCGAGGGAGATTGACAGTTATTTTGTGTTTCTTCCATTTGCGAATAATCGCACCAACTGTTGATAAACCTTCTCACCATGCTGCTTGGCGATGGTCTTGTAGCCCATTCCAGCCTTGTGTAGGTCTACAATCTTGTCCCTGACATCCTTGGAGAGCTCTTTGGTCTTGGCCATGGTGGAGAGTTTGGAATCTGATTGATTGATTGCTTCTGTGGACAGGTGTCTTTTATACAAGTAACAAACTGAGATTAGGAGCACTCCCTTTAAGGGTGTGCTCCTAATCTCAGCTCGTTACCTGTATAAAAGACACCTGGGAGCCAGAAATCTTTCTGATTGAGAGGGGGTCAAATACTTATTTCCCTCATTAAAATGCAAATCAATTTATAACATTTTTGACATGTGTTTTTCTGGATTTTTTTGTTGTTATTCTGTCTCTCACTGTTCAAATAAACCTACCATTAAAATTATAGACTGATCATTTCTTTGTCAGTGGGCAAACGTACAAAATCAGCAGGGGATCAAATACTTTTTTCCCTCACTGTATGTAACATGAGCAGCATAGAACGGGGAAGGGGGGAGTAGAATTCCACCACATGGCATGATCCTTACTATGGGAGAGCTGAAATGTCAGGCTGATAAAAAAGACTGAAGGACTTGTTAGAGCAATATATTGCTCCCCTTTCTGTCCTTTTTCCCTCCTCTGTATGTTACCATGGCAGCAGGAGGTGCGTAACAGTCATGTGAAAACGAAGCTGATTGGATTAAAATACTTTGTGTGATCAGGGGTCAGGAAAACTGCATACGCACTAAACGCACCATAAACTGATTATATATACACACAGACACAGGCAGACACATGCACAACATACGTACATGCCCACACAATCACGTTAAGTGCATAGCGCATAGCATACAAATTTAGACCACAGCGACATAGATACAATAGACAATGCATGCCCCGCTTACTTGATTAAAGAAGTTTACTGCAAAAAATACTTGCAAACTCGCAAATAGGTACCCTTAGTCCCTCATGTCTCCTGTACATGGTTTAGTTTAAAAAGCAACAGCAGCTTGAAATGTATGACATCTGAGCCATATTCTGTAGACCTTGTTTAAGTGGGAATTCAATAACAGATTATTTCAAGCTTATGAAACATGGATTCAGTCCAGACCAGGAGCCTCACTAGACAGGATGTGAGAATATAAAGGCCCACACACACAACTGTCCTGTGTAAATTACCATGAGTTTAAATGTGCATGTGACCCTGCAACTTACATGGAGTGGTATCAGTTGCTACTATAGTAGTACAAGGCCCTCTATTGTAGTTCTACAACTTAAATATAATTATATTTACTATGACGGAAAAACATAATTTCAAAAATACTTGTCACACTCTGTTATGGATAATTATATGATGCTGACAGTAAATGGGAGTTCCTCCTTTCTCCTGGTCAGTATTGAATAATATCAATAACAATCAACGTCATGTAACCAGTGTGTCTCCTCCCAGCTGTCCTGATGCTTCCCTGTCCCTTCCTGTTCCTCTTCTCTCACGCTCCCTCCCATCCAGGCACATGGAGGCAGCAGCTGTACGGTAGTGGACGGGGTCGTAAAAGCGAGGGCCGAAAGA